TAATTTAAAAATAGAAACAGTTTTGCAAAAATACTACTCTTCTGCAGACTTTAAACGATACAATGATAAATGATTGCACGTAAACCACTGAATCATAATTATTACATCTAACTCTCAAACTATCTCTTGCATTTGCACGAAACCCGAATGCTGTGATTTCCAAAAATAAAATTGAAACAGGATTAGAACAAATTTCATTTACTATAGATTGTACTATGAAAGTTTAATTATTAAGTTATGTTAAAAATAATTTTAAATTAAATGCAATTCAAAGTAGAATTAATCATTATCATAACTCGCCAATCCCTCGCCTCTGAAAAATGACAAATTGTTATGTCTTAAATGATGATCGACAACATAATATGAATACAAATATACAAATAAAAAACGTACATTTCTAAAATATAGTTGATTTGATTATTTGAAAATTTAATTAGATTGAGAGTGTAGTGAACCATTCATTATCTTGTCACCGTGTTTTTAACCACAAATAAGACAGTATTGCCTGTTCGCAATTGTTTAGTAAACTAAAATAATTGAAGTTCTGAAGTTAATTATTACTACACTTTCCCCATTACACTTATTAATTTCTACTAAAATTCGTGCGTAAGTGACGAATCGCAGAGTACCGAAAAGCTCCCGGAGGTTGCAGTAATGTGCTTTACTCTCAGAAGAAGGTTTCTCACTTGGGTTTTTCTTGTACAATTCGCGCGCAGAGTTTCCTTGCGGAAAATTAAGCATTGAAAGATCGGGAAGTGCCTAATGATGCCCATCGCCTAATTTTTTCCTTGTCATGACCTGGCCGGCAAGGTTTTGACACAGCGCAACTACTCGTTCTTTCCACTTTGAAAGCAGACTCCGAATTCATGTTTCGTAATAAAGAATATAATTAAGATTATATTAATGCATTCCTCTATTTTTACCTTCTCGCCTACACCTTACGTAGTAAAAAATATTGTAAAAATATTCAGCGGAAAGTGGCGATATTTCGTCAAAAATCTCATATTGTGAGGTTCTGGTGTTGAAAAGTGGATGAATCTTGTTCCTATGTAGTAAATTGCTTCTTTCAATACGTTGTGTAGTTATAAATACACTTTTGTTAGTCCTCGATACTCCCCAATCAGTGTGGCAAAACTCAAGGTCTTGGGAATTTGATAAGGATATATTGTTGTGTGTGTGTGTGTGTGGTGTGTGTGTGGTGTGTGTGTGGTGTGTGTGTGGTGTGTGTGTGTGGTGTGTGTGTGTGGTGTGTGTGTGGTGTGTGTGTGTGGTGTGTGTGTGTGGTGTGTGTGTGTGTGAGTGTGTGTGAGTGTGTGTGTGAGTGTGTGTGTGTGTGAGGGAGGTGCTTTACATGAAGCCTTAACAATAATTTCAGATTTTTTGTAAAGTTTCCAAATTTTTGGATTAAACGTTTTTTCCTCTTAGAGCTTAAAAAAAGCTCAGATTTCAGTTTCGTTGAACTTTCAGAAATTTCTAAAATTGCATAAGTTTCAAATAATGCGAGAAGTAGGCAGAGGCTATCGTAAGTAATAGCCCAGACTGAACGCCTGCCGACTCCATGTAAACGAAGACGCCAACCTACCCAGTCCCCAAGTAAGATCTCCCGAAGAATAAATTATGGTTTAAACTGTTGGTGCTACAACATCGTGTACTTTCTCGTGATATTTCTTTTTCAAATTTCGTAAATTAAGTGAGTTCAACGAAAATAAGACCTGTTCCATTCTTTTAAGCGGTTTGTTCTATCCATGAGAGAGAAAAATAAATTAAAACTGTTTTTGAGAAAATATTTTTTTGTATAAATTCTATTAATTTGAAACAGAAATTGCGCGGAAACGTCTATTTAAAAAAACAAAAACGTTGCATGACCTTTTATAAAGAATTGATTTTTTAGAACAGATTCTATTTATGAGAGGGGGAGAGGAGGTTGAATTTTGGTTGGTTGGCTGTTATGGAGAATGAAGAGGAGAGGTATACCGCCTCAAAGCAGCTATTTGTTTTCTACAGGAAAAAAAAAAAACGCGTGCGCGTATGTTGTCACGTACAGTGCATAATGAATGAAGGCGTGTACTGTGTGACCCCGCGTCGCCACCCCCACCCCCCTCCACCTCTTGCTGTTCGAGGTTCTTTGGCATGGGACACGCAAATGGAACACGAACAGGTTGAAGTCAAGAAACATCACCGGACTATTAATCCCTGGACAAAAGACAAATGGTCACTCACCTCGGTCACGGACGGGGTGAACAAAAGGGGAATCGAAAGTGCTTGCTGTTCGTAAGTCGAAGGGAGCCAACTTTATTTTCCTACTCCTTACTCACTACTGTAGTCACTCTTTCCTAATTGAGGTGCTTGCTTCAATTAATAAATTTAGTGGAGGATACCTGTCGGGTCACTTTTTTCGTAGTTCAGATAGATAACCCCGGAGAACGGTTATTTTTAGACTCGAAACAAATTAAATTCTTCCCTAATAATTTCGCTTTCCCCTCTTCCATTCTTCCACCTATCTCCTAATTACTTAATACGACAAGGACATACTTTTTTCATCTTCGTTATTCTCCATTGTTGCACCATGGGAATGCAAAATTGGTTGCAGAATACAGGCACTAGCATTTATTGTCGCTCGTCCCTTCGAATACACAAGCTATTTAGCTGGGTCGAAAACCCGTCACCTTGATGGTTATATTACCTGGTGCGATGGTACATAGTTCGCAACTGAATGATTTATTAGTGAATTAGGGCGCGTCAACAGCTTAAGTCATTAGTCCTGTAAGTGTACTGCATGTATTTTTATTGCGGGAGTGTGCTGCAATATTATCTCGCTAGATGGCGAGATCCTGTTCCGCCTATAACTACACTACACTTAGGGGACTTAAGAGGTTAATTAATCATTCAAATATTACAAGTAAATATAACTTTTTAAACCTGAATTACAATAAAGAACGAGTTTCATTTCCATTCCAAATATTAAATACTCATGGGAAGCGTCATGTCTGACACCAGGGGTGGGAGCAGAGAAGTGCCACTGCAATGTAACAATGGCGATTAAAGCAAATGTAAATAAGCAATTGGACCCGAGGTGGCGGCAACAGTTTCATCAGGCGTGGTTTCATACTAGGCTCGTCGCGTTTCCGGAAACAACGCAAGAATAAAATGTAGCAATATAATAATATATTTTATAACCTAACCAAGTGGCTCAGTGCGAATCGCGCTGGATTCGCAATCGGGACGTCTGGGCTCGATCCCTGGGCCGACCATCCTGTCCAGGGTTTTTGTGGTTTCCTTCTGTCACAAGGCGAATGCTGGGATGGTTCCAAAAGCCCACGAACACCTCCCACTACCCCACCTAACTCTTGCTACCATCATCCTAGTCCGTCCCCCCCCCTCATCATCACCCAATAATAAAAATTATAATAGAAATAAAATAATAATTTATTATTATTATTAATATTTTTATTAATAGTAATAATATTATTATTAATAGTAGTAATAATAATAACAAATTATTTTATTTCTATTATAATTTTTTTATTATTATTATTATTATTATTATTATTATTATTATTATTATTATTATTATTATTATTATTATTGAGGAGTAGTAATATAATAGTATGAGTTTGGTTCATCCCCAAATTTCACTCCAAGTCACGCCCCTGCTGGATATCATCGGCTGACCGCGCTTAACATGAGCACAGGCCAGGAATGCAAAAATTCAACAGACGCTCCAGAAATAACCCCGGCCCAGCCCCTTCCCGCTTTAGTAAGGCTCGCGGGGCAACGAAACGGACGTCCTGTATGCGAGACGGGCCGGACACCTCGGCGAACGCGTCGTAGAATCGAAAGGTCACAGGTTCGACGTTGTTTGTTTGTGTCAAACCAGTCATTTATTGATGCCTGAGAATGGGATAAATGATCAAATTCCTTGGTGGCGGTAGTAAAATTGGGAAATGTTGGATTGATGGCAATTAATTTTTCACTATAATGGCAAATTACTTGATATGTACGTGGGGTGCTCTCCATAATTGCGATATTTGTAGTCAAAAATATTGACAGTATAAAATAGAGTCGCTAGTTGTTAGCAATATGCATTACCGAGTGCGACAGCGATTTCCATTTAGGTTATTGTATCCTACTCGTTTTTGAAGACTGATTATATACATCGCGGCTATTGTGGAAATATGACTAATATTAGGATTAGTTAATTCGCTTATTCGTTAAATTGTGTATGAAAGATGGTAAACGGATAATTTCGGACTTCATTCGGCTAATATTAATATTAACCTCACTGCACTGACTTCAAGTAAAGTGATAGTTCGAGCGTGATGCGTCTTGTATGTTCGCAGGACGTACGAGTATTTCGGCTTAAAAATGAGTTGAAATTACGTTGCACAGCACACGATTGTCAGAGCTACATCGCGAAGATCGGAGCCTCGTTGCCAAATCGGAAATGCTTCTTGCGTTTTGACAATGAGGTATCGGTGGTGTGTTATCGAAAGAGACTTGCAACGGACTCAGTGGAACTCAAAACTACAAACCTTGTCTCTCGCTGGTCTCACGAACTTCCCACCTATGGCCTGAACGCTGTATATCACATACCTGTTATTAATCGCTAATGTAACGTACTTCTCCTGCCTCAACCACCTTGTTGGCTAATTCAAATTAATCCGGCTAAAATCCGAAGTATTTTTCGGAGCTGTTCCCACTTCGGACTTAATCTACCCTTTTTTGGACAACATGAACTTTAACCGATTTTTTCGGGAATGAACCAGATTCGGACTTTTGACATAATATATTCATTTTATATTATATTATTACCATATATTTAAGAATATTGATTATTAATTCATCATTATTAAATCAACAATAAAATTGATTTTCCAGAAACTGATATTATAAAATATATCGCGGCATGTACATAGTTGACAAGGCAGAAACTACGCTGGACAGACTTCGACACTTCATAGCGAATCTACAATTCCCAATCCCTCGGCGACGCGCAATCGTTGCAAATCACTGCGGAACTTGTCGCGTGTCCGAGAGGCGGAAAGTCGTTTGGCGCTGCGCCTCCCTCAGCAGGCCGACGATTCGTCGCCGCTGCATCGAATCGCAGGCACGTGACGCTTGACCTGGTCGAGACTCGCTCTCCGGAAGGGAAGAGGAAGCAGGCGAAGTGTTTCGTTATGGCGCAGCCCGGGGGATTCGGCGGGGAGGCAACGGCAGTTTGTCCCGGCGGCAGAGCGGATCGCGAAACCGGCGGCGGTGCAACAAGTAAAGAAAGTGTCGTGAACTTGGCCGTCATGTCTTCGAGGCAGGTTGCACCTTCATCCGTGCGATCGGACGAGTGCGGCGTGAACATGGTCGTCCATGAAGACGGTTTGTTTACACTTGTTGCATGCGCGTGCTTGTGTGCGTGTGTAGCGGTAGCACTTTGTGAATTTGGCCAACCTGTTGTGCGCGAGTTTATTGCCCTTTAGGGGAGTGTCTGGGCAGGAGGCGCGAAAAGATAAAGGTCATTGGAACTATTTAAAAGGAGAATGAGACGGAGTAAAGAAGACAGATTTTGCTCAATGGCGTCAAATGCTCCAGCCCAACCCGATAAAAATAATGTATTTAAAATTTAATTAGTCGTTACGACTTTTAATGAAACTCATATTCTAATTAACATGCAGCAGAAATTCCTTATTGTCATATAATAGATTATAATCGTATTCATGTTATTGGTGTCATGAGCTCGAAGCGTTTTTTTTTTTAATTACGTTAACATTGTTCTTTTACAGCATGTAATGGGACATTTCGACATTTATGCAATCCTTCATTTATTTGATAAATATTTGTTGTAAACTGGTATTAAAAGTTGATGTTCTGTTTCCCCTTCAAAGCTACTGATATCTTTGCCCTTGCAAAAATAAATATTCAGTATTTAATTTTTTTTTACAGGTGAACAAGAGCCAATGGGATTTATAGAAATTGTTGCCACAGTAGGGTCAGTCCTGCTCCTAATTCTCACATTGCCATTCTCGTTGTTCATCAGTTATAAGGTGAGTGAAGTTTTATCAGATTAGTTCTATAAAACATTTGTTTTGGATATCTTGAGGCTATTTAAGTTTCAGGAATGGAAATAATTTTTACATACCCAAGTACACAAAATATTTTTTAATCAAACTGAAGTTTTTATACAAGAAATAATAGCACATAGCTTTGAAATTTTGATAAAACCACCATCTATAGTAATCATACACTATTGCACAATCATAAGAGAAATGCATTGATACCTCCCTAATTTTGGTTGAATAGTAGTTCCTCTAAACTACCTGTTGAAGTTGAAATTGCAAATCCATTCTCGCCTAAAGTATTGTCATGAACTTAATCAGAAAACTGTAATACTATGCAGAGTGTAAGAATTGTTTCATCTTACACATTTTGTATTGGGAGTTTCTCCTTAAATTCACAACAAATTCAAATTGAATTATTTGGGATAACAGTTGCAGTTTTCTCTGCCATCGGATTTTAAATTAGAAAAACTGAAGTGTAAACTGGACAAGTGGAATCAAATTAGATTGATTTATATGGTAATTTTAAATTCACCTGTGAACTCTTCTGTTATTTCAAATGTACTTGAACAAATAAAATTAGAAAAGTGTTAATATAAAACTGAAATGTGCATTAATGTGTAAGAAATTGGTAAATGTTATGAAGTTTATATCTTTGAGCAATGTTTGCAGCTTTGGAAATTTGAATTTCCTGATTTGTGAAATTTCAAGAAATATTTTTCAGGCTTTGCCAAATAACTTCCTAACCCTACCCAAATAATCCAAAATTTGGGTGCCATATGGATTAACTTATTCTTCTTCTTTCTTCTTCTTGCAAGTGTTTTACAGCTCTTGTGGCCGTTCATCGCATCCCACTCTACCACTCTATTGTTCCAGTCCTTCTCTTCTAGTCCTTTTCTTAGCATATTGTTAAAAATCTGATTCTGCCATTCCTCTCTGGGTCTACCTCTTTTTCTTCTGTCTAAAGGACACCACACGCATACCTTTCTGGGCCATCACCCACAATGAAGCCTTTTCATGTGACCAAACTATTTCAGCCTTCGTGTTTCCAATTCATCTATTACTGATTTTTGAACCTTCATTTGCTTAAGAATTTCTTCATTTCTACTATGTTCCATTATGATACTCCCCAACTTCTTCTCAAAAAATCCATTTGTAGGCTCATTAATTTCTCTCTCTCTCTCTTTTCCTTAGTTCCCATGTTTCTGCACCATACAATGTTATACCTTGTATGATAATCAAAAAGTCTTTTCTTGGTAGACTTTTTGACTCTGTGATTAACTTATTACAAATTGCATAAAGAAGGAACATTATGCTTTCTTGATGTGAATTTTACAGGTGGTGCAAGAGTATGAAAGAGCTGTAATATTTCGTCTGGGCCGCTTGCGACGAGGTGGTGCAAGAGGTCCTGGAATCTTCTTTATTCTCCCGTGCATTGACACCTATTGTAAAGTGGACCTTCGTACAGTCTCCTTTGATGTTCCCCCACAAGAGGTAAGTGTTATTTGCAATCATTTGTTTTATATATTCTGACTGTGATAATTTTTTGTCTCTTGCTAAGTGAAGAATTTATATGATACTCTTGGGTTTCTGTGCAAACAAAAATTATGTTTAAGTTTTCTTGAAGCAGAGAAATTGTCCATAATCTAAACATCTGGAAATGTAACTACTGAACAGTTCAGCTTCCCTATTTTTGCCTGATAATTATGTGGTATTTGTTTTGTGAAAACTGCATTGATGACATGCATAATTTTTTAACACATTTACATTACACTGAAACTTTAATGCTAATTTGTGTTGTTTAATAGTCTGCAATAATGAGTTTTAATTCTTACATATCCTTACTTACATTGTTTTTGTGAACTTAACACACCATTTCTTCAGGTTTTGTCACGAGACTCGGTGACAGTATCAGTTGATGCTGCTGTTTTCTATCGTGTGAAAAGTCCATCACAGGCAACAAACAATGTTCAAGATTACAGGTAGAATGTCTCAGTGTTACAAAAAATCTTGTTGTTCGTGCACGCACATTGTCAGCCTGGTGACAGACTTGGCACTCATTTGTGAGCTTCGTAGATATTAGCTTGTTGTTTTACTATAGATGTTTTTGATTTCTGATCGATCTCTGCAATTGTTGCATAGGGATTTTGTATTTGTGTGAATGTTAAGTGTCTAGTTTAGGACATCTTTCTCTGAGCATGTAAAGATTCTGGATCCTGGAGGCACAAGACGCACTTCTAGATTAATTAGGAAAATATTTTGTGATACTATACATTTAAATGAGAGAAATGAAGCATCAACACTTTATTTTTTTACTCCTCCATGTGACAAGTGTATCGTATCCTTTACCTCTGGGATTCAGAATTCTTCTGACTCTAGAAGTTGTATTTGCTCTTCCTACACTGTGTTGTAAGTACTATTTTGTTGTGTTGTGGCATGTTTGTTTTCTCATTCCATGATATTACTGCACATACCAGTTGTAACATTGCCCAACCCCTTTTGAACATGTTCAGAATTATTACATTATTAATCATAAACACTTACAAATAACTTATATAAATTTGAAGAGATGCCTTAACAATAGTGTCAAATAGTCCATAAAATTACATTTGTCTTTGTGATACCTGGTAATGTATACAAACAAAATTTTGGCTCATACAAGTGAGGAAATTTTAATTAAATAGTTAAAAGTACCAAAAATTGCCATGTAAGTCATGTAAAATTTCTTGCATTATTTCATAATCTGTTATAAATTGCTGGAATAATGAAGACGCTACAAATAAGAATCACTGTGGATGATGCAAATCCTTCGCTCCTGTGTAAGGTGTTGAGCAAAAGTTGGGTGTTAGGTGCTGACTCGGGATTCGGTGACTGTGACTGTGGATGCCGTGGTCTACTACAGAGTGCAGAGCCCTCTGAAAGCAACAATCTGTGTGAACAACTACAGGTTTGTGTACTATAGGATTCATCAAAGAAGACCAGAGTCCTCTGAATGTGTTTAAGAGTTAATGTTTGGTGAATACATTTACATACCAAGTAAAAGTATTTGAAATTAATCTTTACTTCAGTAAGGCCATCAAGCTTTGTGGCATGGCACTGCAGCAGTTTTGTCACTGTGTGTGTGTGTGTGTGTTTTATTTGACGTTACTTTTAACATTGAATTACGAAAAACCTAAAATTTATTCATAATCTTGTGTACAGTTGAGATAGTTTATGTAAAACACAGAGGCTGAAGGCCATTACCAAATCAGAAATGCACGGCAAAGTGACAGAGGGTCCTCTAAAATAATTTGACTTCAAAAATGCATTAGAATTTTGTAATTTTCATTCCGAAGTACTTGCAGTTCCCAAATCACATTGTGTCACAGCTCCTGGAACTGCAGTAATCCAATTGAATTAAAGATCTAAGATTTTTTTATTTGTATAATTCAAATGTAATATTCTCATGGTATGATAAAATTAGTTCAAGAACCCACAACATATTGTATTGGTGTGTGGCAGTTTGTTTGATTTGTGGATTAGTAGTGTGTAGAAATTTCAAACTTGGTAATTCATTATATAATTTGTGCAACATGTAGTGCAGTTTATTTAGGAAAAGATAAGAAGCTACTACTCTTTTGTTGGCTAATGAAAGATTGCTCTTGCATTCAGAGGAAGCATGTTGAAAAAATTTGCTTGCGATTGTGCATGTCTTTAGTAGTTGTGTCTAGTGTTGGTGTGTTAATAAATTTGATCATTATGTGTCAAAACTTCATTATTATTGTGATTGTCATTATATATATATAACATTTTATTCAATATAAGATTTCTTTAGAAAAATCTCATAATTTCAGCCACTCAACCCGTCTTCTGGCTGCTACAACTCTAAGAAATGTTCTGGGCACACGTAATCTATCAGAAATTCTCTCGGAGAGAGAAGCCATTGCTCACACTATGCAGTCGTCATTGGATGAGGCAACAGATCCTTGGGGTGTTAAAGTTGAGAGAGTGGAAATGTGAGTATATCTTAAATTGTAATCTAATACTACCCATTTTCAATGTTCTTGAAGTATCCTTTACCCCTTCGCTACATATGGTGTTAAACATATCTCCAATACATGCAAACAAGCTGAGAGTCTGCATTTAAATACTGGATTCTATTTCTTTCTTTCTTCCTTTTCTTCTTTAATTTATTATATTTTATATTTAATCACCAAACTTTTAATTATACCATTGAAGCTTATTTATTATTTCATTTATTAATTACAGACATAGGTACGAATTTATTTATGAATTTAAAATGGTAGTGAGAATGGAATTCAAAGGAACACATGTTTTTAATTTTATATTTCTGTGAAAAGTATGAATGTTACAAAATAGGGGGGGAAACGCAGTAAACTTAATGTGTCAACAATACTAGTGCACTATAATTATATTTTGTTGAAGTTTAGATATAGTTCTATGTGCATATCTATTTTTTACTGCCTTCATTTGCCAAAATATAATGTGATAAAAAAATGATGAAGAATAGTTTAGTTCAGTTGGGTCTTCATTTACAGGAAATTTTACTTCATTGGTTTTCTCAAACACTAGTAATTCAGATTGTTTATCAATTTCATAGCATTCTAATGGAAATGAAAACTCATGAATTTGAGAAGACTCACCAAAATAGAATCATTCATTATTACTCAACATGATATAATTTTCATTGCTCAAACTAGACTACAGTCTAGGAATAAAATTGAACTGATCCCCATCAGAAGAATTGAGTTTGGATTCATTACTCAAAACTCTTGAATTTCTTATGTAGATAGTCGCAATGAATTTTACATCCATGACTTCTAAACATCTGTATATGTCGCTAACAACTTGAACAGTACTTACAAGGAAAGACATTCTGAATGTTATCGACAGTTGCAGCAAGTATGAATATCCAAAGGCTTCATGTAAAAATTCCTAATATTAACACACAAAAGAAGCACACATTGGCATTGGTCATGCAACTACTTTAATGATATTAAGAGCATATTTTAGGTGCCTATGAACATCACAAAAACCCTTATTTTCTGTCAAAGATGATAAATGTAGAATGGAATGTGGAATGGAGAATATATCCACAGGACACAGCAGTAAAATGAAGATGACGTATCTGATACGTACCTAGGATCGAAAGTGTTAAAATTTGATTTGCTTTGGTTACTGTCATTCATTACGATAATTGCTTGTTCTGCAAAACAATCGGGTTTCCTTCCATGCAAAAAAGTGAAAATGGGGGCCCACTGTCGAGTGACCAGTTACTGACAGTTCAGTATTCCACTCACCAAAAGGTTGTAATCGTGAAAGACACAGTGAGTGCTGCATGGAAACAATCAAAAGACAAACTTTTACCGCCCAAGAGTAAAGATGCTAGCCACCCACAATGTAATGAAACTGGCTGAGTGTCAGATTAGATGTTGCATACCCAATGTTCACATGCTGCTGGCAGAGTTGAGTCTCGTTATCTACTAAATAATCAGCTAATCAGAGTTGGGAACCTCCTCTGACGCATTGAAGACTTTCTCAGTGAAGCTGCCAGACTTGAACAAATTTGATGTTGTCGAACATTCAAATGCAGACAAACAAGAAAGAATCCAAGAAAGCTAAAGGAGATTACTCCTGAGATGTCCTTTCTCGGTTAATGCGAGGGATGAGCTCCACATTTGCTTTTCTCCTAGTGTTTATCTTCGACAATTATGTATTATTTTTAAAACAAAAAAAAATCCCATTCTATGATTGCTATTGGAACTGGTATTGTGCATATTAATTTAACTAAATGGAAAATTTCATTAAGTATTCCTTCCTATGTTGTCAAAATTTTCTGCTTCTTGTTGCAATTCTTGTTGCAAGTTGCAATTCTTTTTTTAAAAAAAAGTTTATTTTTACGAACCAAGTAATTAAAAAATATTGAATGCAATGTTGAATTGTTAGCAAACAAATTCGTAGAAAAATTCTTTATTTCATAATTAATAGCAAAAATGTTCAATCGATCAATAGCTTCAAATGAAAGTGACCAAATAGTTTTTGTTTTTTAATTAAACTAGGATACCTTAAATTTCCTTCACAATGCATGACAGCTAAACAAAACTCAAATTGGTATCAAACTCAGTAAAAGCACTCAAGAAATAGGATGTCCAGAAAAACAATTTCACTCAAGAGTTCATGCTTTGTCTAATGGCACTTTTCACCTCATATGGCAAGAACAGCTGGGATTCTACAAAAACAGCGATGACTGAAGTGCATATCACTGTTCAAAAGGGATATGCTACAAACTGGCTCAATGAGTCCCCACAAGTAGCGGTGAGCTCTTTCTTTTCTTTTTTTTTTTTTTTTTTAAATCTTGCCTATCAAAAACCAAATGCTTTGCAGCTGGTAATAAAGTTATGTGCATCTCATTCCTTTGGCAATGAAAAATCAAACCCTACACTGCAATAGGGTGATATTATCACTATGGTGACGTTCAAGCTCCGGATTGGATAAAACCATCAACAGCTGATACCTGCCAGGGTCAGAGATGCATAAATCACAGTTTAGAGTGCAGAGTATATACAACTGTGTATGCGAGTGATAAAATGTGGAATGGAAAAATATAACTATTGAGGACATTAGATTGGTTGTAAATTGAGTGGTTGAATAAGTCTATTGCTGATTGATTTCACACTTTAAGAAAGCTCCATTTATGAAGATGGATATTGTAAAGCACTGAAGAAATTGTGATGTGCAGTTCAGAATTGACAGCAAGGTCTGTGCAACCTGCACTTCCCCGACAGTTCCATATGTTGCAGCAAAAACATGGCTTCTTGAAACATTTCGCTGCGATATTTTTGACAATCTATCCTACAGCTCTCATATAGATGCATCTGATTGTCACCGTCGTACACAATTGAAAGGCTTGTTGAGGCAAAAGACTTCAGTGACCTGAAAAAAAAAACTGTTGCTATTTCTTATGCAAACTAGTCGCAGGGACCGGAACGAGACAGAAAAATCAAAACCTGTTTTATGATATGACTGTTTGTGGTGTATATGGTGAATTATGTTGAAAAGAAATGTGTAAGAGTGTGGTAACAGAATGAAATCATCTAAAACTCATAATTACTTGCTTTGCAATTCAAAAATGGGTATGGCTTTCTGGAGAACTTTGATATAAATGAGTAAATGGCTCCACCTAAAATTGAATAAATGATTTAATAGATTAATAGATGGAGCTAATTGATTAAAATTATCTTCCTGCAAAATGAGAATTTTGGAAATAGCGCTTTTCTTGTACTCTTATGATAAGTGCTGTGATGAAATTTTTCAGTCAAGTTTTTTGTGTAATTTTGTATATTCAGTCAAGTGGTAAAAATGTTCGTTTCAGAGTAAAAATTACAGCAATAATCTTGAGCTAGGCAGGGTTGCACCAAATGTGACTTAGTTGATGGGATAAAATAAGCATTGCCTCAATGAGCAGTTCTAAGTCATTCTCAAATTGCTCCATGTGTACGTGGAATTAAAAGAAATACATGAAACGTTGAAATTATTTTCAGAAAAGATGTGCGTCTACCGGTTCAGTTACAACGTGCGATGGCAGCTGAAGCAGAAGCTGCTAGAGAAGCTCGTGCCAAAGTAATTGCAGCTGAAGGAGAAATGAAAGCTTCGAGAGCTCTAAAAGAAGCTTCAGATGTTTTGACTGACAGCCCTGCTGCATTACAGGTACTTGAATTTTTTTAGTGTTGAATACAAAATCCATTTTTGAAAAATATTAAGCTATGTCATATACTGTACAAAATACATTCTCAATTTTGTTTTTTTAATCAGTTTAAAATTTTTTTTTTATGATAATGCAATGTTTTATTAGCACACCCATATTGTAGCTAAAGGAAGATCCAGTGTAGCATTAGTACTTTAGTGGATTTATTCTATCATCAGTGCCATATATTCATTATTTCACTTCTTTTGGAAGACATTAGAAAGGCACTTTATGAAATTGAGTCGTACTATCATCTTCATAATTCCCATCAGCTCTTTATTTAATTTCCACTGATTTGCAACCGTAACACACTTGCAACTGTTTGTTAGTTTTTAAGTTTTGAGTCACAAAAGAAAAGATATTTTTTTAAGATATAATGGAAAAACTTTGGAATTCGCATCACCACCCTTCTACCTTGTTTATAGTCTAACAAACTGAAATGACAATCGGTTACTGAATAGAAATGACATGAAATTTAAATCACTTTTGCAACAACTGAAACCTGGTCTAAGAGCCTCCTTAATTAAGTGTTTACATCCATTAATGGCCATTTTGTTTGTGGACTAATTGATATTTTTCAAAATGTACCTGTAGCCTCTTTAGCAGCAAACAGTCGGGCACATTTCATTGACCTTTATTAAGCAGTCATCTCAAGCAATTGTGATAAGGTATAATTCAAGTAACAACTCCAGCAATAATTCAAGTTTTAATAAATACCTTATAACAAAGTAACAAGAAGTTACGTCTTAAGTTTAATTTGCCTGTTCGATTCTATGAGAACAGAGAAAAGAGTTCCTCATCTAAGACAATGGTGTGATTTGATTAGCTGAGAGAATGTAAATGATCTTTAATACCTTGTTTAATTTGTACTTCGCTTTTTATGGTAATTAAAAATATTAAAGCTAACATGTATCATTTCATTGCAGTTTATTAGATATAATTTATGTCGTATGATACCTAATCACCTTCATTAATGGCCAATTTTTGCGAGATCCATTGATGTCTGCAGAAGACAGGTTTCAGTGAAGGGGAGGTGATGGAGAGTTAGGACAGTTTTCAAATTTGGAATTTGAATTTTGAATAATTTTGAAACTTTTAAACTCTTAGAAAATAACTGATACTTAATGCAGCTATGAAAATATGTTCAAACATGTAAGATTTTTGTAGAATCTTTTATAATACCATTTTTTGTCTTAAATCTCCCACACCATGGGAGAGTTGGAACAAGTTATCTTTTCACATCAAAAACGTAAAAATTAGCATGTTTAATCACGTGATCAATCAGCAATCATTCAGTTTCATTTTTATGAAACAGAAATACACTTTCATTTCATTACAAGTTCTCAACATTCTTTAAATGCTTGCAAGGAAAATAATAGATGTACCTTGTGCACTCAGTACCTCTCAAAGTGGTAGAGTCGGGTATCTTCAGTGTCACTTTCTTTGACTGATGCAATGTCTTTAACATCTGGATAAGCAAAATTCTTTCACTCGTACTCAAAATTCGAAATCTTCTTAAAAACTTAATAACAACACTTTCATTGATGTTTTTAATTTTTCTGGTGTAATGAATTCTTCTCTTTTTTGTTTCAAATTATTGACAGTTAAATTTTTGCTTATATGACTGCAAACTCTTTCTTAATTATTTTCCTCACTCATTGAAACCTCATTTGAATCATGCAGCATTTTAATTTGAGCAAATGAGTAGTTCAGTTTCAAACTGGTGTTTTTCTTTCTTTTTTTTCCTGTAATTCTAAGAGTATTTTGCTTTTGACTGGTCTTGATGTTAAAATTGATGTTTTTCCAGGTTTATGACAATGGTTTGCTTTCTTGTGGGCTTGGAAAAGTTAGAATATGACTGTATGTTCAAAGTGGCATGAGCATGAAAATGCATAATATTAAGTGAGAGTTTGGACATGTGCAAACTCTCCCTTGGTAGCAATTCTAAATAAATATTCAAATTTTACAATATTTATCAAATTCATCTGTTCATTTTTTGAGGCAAGCTCAATAGTACTGCTCTTAAATGTTATAATCAATGTATATAAGAATTGTATTGTCAAACACCATTTTGCAATATTGTTATTGCATTGATCGCAGTATGAAGTTACGTTTTGTTTTTGGCAGAAGTATGATGTAGTGCCATCACCATTCTGGAGGCTTGTAGTCAAATATATGTGCACAAGGATTGTAGTCAAGAAATGTGTATCCTTTAGAAAGGGTATCTTATAGAGATGTCCAAAAAAAGTCTTGATTATCAATCTAGTTTATTTTGTTGTGGGATAGTTTTCCAGAAAAATGATGTTTCAGGACATGACATTGCCTCAAATGAACAACCACAAAATCTGTTTCAGTTCCAGGCCATGTGAAGAAATACAGTGAGCTGAGATTTTTGTGTTTTGATATTAGATTCTTTGAAATTAGAATTTTGTATTTTAACCCTTCTCTGGGCAAGCAAATTCTGTAATACATCCATCGGACTCTGTGTTATGTCGACACATTTTTCTTCTTTCATTTACAATTATTTGAATTTTAATCACTAAAATCTGTTTTCCGGAGAGGGGTATTTACTCGCCAGAAATATCTTTTCACTTGTGGTTTTTGTTTTCCTATTTGAAATTACACACAGTTCTAATAAACTTTGTAGCTGAATAGCATCATTATCTGTAACCATCCCCTAAACAGAGATAAACAAATGAATAGATTTTTTCCATTCTTTCATTTAATTAAAGATAACCAATTGTTGTTTCTTACTATTAGAAGTTAAAAATCACCTGTAAATTATTCAAAAGATTGGGAACAAAATTGCGAAAGACAGATACTACAGTCTTTAGTGTACTATAAGCAAATGATGTCAAACAGACGCTTGATGCTCAAATAAGGGTTAATATAAAGCAAATGATCCGACTAGAACATTCTTAAAAACAATAAAAGGTCAGGTGTGAGCATAGTAATTTCCATTGACGCAAAGTGACAATAGTGAATGATGTACACTTTATAATCACCTCTCTCTACCTAGTTCTTCCTTTTTAGAATATTCATTTTTATAATGTTACAGAATGATCTGTTAAAAACCTGTTGATATTAATGATTTTGTAATTTCATTTGTAGCTTCGTTACCTGCAAACATTGAATACAATATCGGCTGAAAAGAATTCAACAATTGTATTCCCTTTGCCAATGGATATTATTACTCCTTTTCTGGGAATAAAGAAGTAAAGAAGAAAAGGTAAGTTTTCAAAGATTATGATGATGATGATCATGATGATGATGATGATGACGACGACTTATTTAACTGAAATAATTGTTTTCAGACATTTCTTCTTAAAGTTGCAGTTATAAACGTTATATCAGTCTTGATTGATGAAGTTGAAGTATTTTTTTTCTTTTATGTTTCTTCAACAAATCATTTTTTTAATGCATCATTTTTCAGATTAAGTATTTGTAATATTTCTAACATGTTAACATTCAAGTTTATGCAGCTAAGAGCGGAGGATGATAGGCATTAATGTTTGTAATGAGGGCCGGATTTACCTACAACCAGTGGCTTGGGGGCCTCCAACCTGTTTACTCCATTACTTCTGTGCCTGTAAAATAATTGTTGCTCAAATAGTCTATTGTACTACAAAATTCGTGTTTAAACATTTAGTTATTTTTTAAAATATTTAATGCATGTTAAAATAGTCTAATATTTCCTATGTTATTTTCAACTGAATGTGTACATTTTAAACAAAAACCTCCAAATGTACCATGCTCAAATAGACAGTGATGGGCAAATGTTAGTGAAGGTACATGGAGAAAAAAAGAAAAATTCTATGTAAGTAATTAGCACAAAATTAAAATATTAATCTATTTGCTAAAACTAGGAGTTTTTGTTTTATAGCAGGGGAGGAAAGAATTTTGTACTTCGAGCCTCCTAAATCCGGCCCTGTTTGTAATGCTGTCAAACACTAGTCATTTGATATTACAAACTGCTTAGACTTTTGTTGCAGTTTGTCTTTCATAATAATTTAATTTCATAAATTTTTTTGTATGAAACTTTATTGACTACCTTCTCAAGAATATTTTAAGTGACTTTGTTTAAATTAGAACTCAGAAAGCACATTATAAAGAACCAAATATGTGCCAGAGATTGCATTTTCTTGTAAAGTATTGTCAAGAGACGGTTTTCTGTGCTTTCAAACATTCTGCACTTTTCAGTAATAGACTATTTGGTCTGAAACATTCTCTGAAATGATTTACTAGAAACGTACATTAACTACAGTAGATATTTTTAAAATATAAAGGAAGTTTAAACATAAAAGAATGCATGGCTCGTCCATACTTGAACAGAAAGTTGTATGAAAAATTATTGATAAAAATATATTGTAGAAAAATGTTGTTCAGTCTCAAAATTAGGTTCAATTATGGTCTGTCAGATAATTCAATTAGCATCAATTCATGTTATCATGAAAAGGTAGTATATTCATTCATGGCTTTTCACCATTACAGAGGTCTTGATATTTTCAAAATCATTGTTTTTCTAGCGTTATCACAGAATATTATAGAAGGATCTGGCTAAAAAACAGCTACTTGATTCTTGTTGAAATGAACCAAATGAACTGTTGATCACATTAAGGTGCCATAAAACCTCTGAAAAGTGCTTGATACTCACTCCCACACCAAGCACATTTTTGCAAAAATTCACTTCACGTTATTAAGAATCTGAAGAAAAAAGATCAGTTATCCACCAGTTGACCAATATGCCTCAGAAGACCTCTTGCTTGCCCTGGTGGACCAAAAGATTCTTAACCATGAGTTTGTAGGATTTTTGTGACTGATTTAGCTTATAATTAATTTGCAACGTTATTTTTAGTATTTAACATGTATTGCATTGTAAATATTATTATAGATGTGACATAGAATGAATTAAAGAAGGCCAAAATCTGTGTATCCCTTCTATAATAATTTGAGTTCCTTTTGGTACTTCAGAGGGAGGCCAGTTAAGAATAACATTGTAATGAGTCAAAGATACAAATATTTCTCAGAGAAGGAAAAAATTTACATATTAAAGAGATGTTCAAATTGAAGGGTTCTACTGTGATTTACCTCTGTACCTGTGGAATGACTTAACTTGCCATATTATTGAAACTAAATACAGTTGACTCCTGACTGGTTGTAGTGAACTTCAGGGGACTAACATTTTCGGTTCTCTATATCCGAGGATATCAAAATTCAACTGAACTTCTTGCTAACAATTGATATTATTTATATAGTGATATAGCAAAATACATGAACAGCATGAACTGAGAATTTCAATATCTTTATTTGTCCTTAAAAAATAAATTTTGTTTCAATTGTTGGCTTTGTGTACTTTTTCATTAGTAATTTCTCTAGATCCTTCTCCACAGTTCGTGCTCTCTCCGTAATTGGTTCTGTATGGTCTTCTGTGTCAAAGTATTGCAGTCTTGACACCCAATCCCTCTTGCACTTTTTTGTGGCACGGAGGCAATATATTATTTTCCAAGTGGGAATTAATTTCCAGGACATTTTTATTTCCTTCGTTGCCAATAGCTGAGGTTCAGGTTCACTATAACCCAAGTTGTCTTGAGTTTATTTGTAAAGTGTGTGAAATGCGACCAGTAGCTTAAGTTCACTATAACCAAGGGTTCACTATTACCCGAGTCGATTGCAGATTCTGATTCTAAATAAATTAAAAATCAAGAGAGATGATTACTTATTATTTTTCATATACTATATTACTTTTGTATAGTCATTAATTATGGCAGTTTCTAATGTTTGCTTGTAATAATTTGTTACAAACCAACCTTATTTTCTATTAAAGATGATTAGGTGTAAAGTGTAGAATATGTTGAGTGTTTGAAAGCAATGTAATTCAAAAATGTATACATAGAATGTTTTTGTGAAACTTAATTTTTGGTGGGGTTAGCCTAACATCCTCCAATCTAGTGTTAATTCTGAAGGATTATTATTGTAATAGGAGTTTTCTGATTGAGATTCTTTTGCTTTCTATTCAGTCTATGAGAATCTTGGAGAGTTAAGAATGCTTGTGTTTTGAGTTAAAATCTGATTCTCAGCAGTTTTTTAAATGTATAAATTGTCTCATTCTACCTTTATTCAGGTCATGTGCAAACTAACACTTTTTGTTTGAATGAATGAGTAACTATTTCTATGATTTATACTTTTTAAATGTTTTCAACTTTATATGAAAATATCTAGTACAAATGTACCAAATTGATTAATTTTTGCTGCCATGCACAAATGTGTTTTACAACAAGTTATGGCTGCATTTATGTACTGCATTTATTGAGCGTGATGTAATACTTTAGATCTAATGTACATGGACAGTGTTTATTGCAAAGATTAAATTCAAATTACTTTAATGATCTGATGAGAGTAATAAAAGGCTTTTACTGTAAGTGCATTCTGTTGGCGTTAATTTTGCCACTGAATTGGAATGATTTGTATGTTATCTTTCTCATTTTGAAGAATGGAGTTATGAATCTCAATGTTAAATAAGAATCCTTGTTGGGTATTCTTAGAATACCATTTGTCAATATTATTTTTTATGATGTTGGTAAATGCCTTTGTGTTAGTAAATAATTTTTATAAGATTTTTGCTTTTATTATAATTATTGTTAAATATATTGATAAAATTAAGATGCACATTTAAGAAATGAGTTTTCTTATTGCAACATCACAAGTTTCATATGAGTGCCAGTTTTTAGAGCAGCTGCAATTGCAACCAATTGTTCCTACATAAAATATATCTCATTAATGTAAACTAACATCACTGTGTGTGAAATTCCATGTTTAAACAAAAGTTTTATGTTTCATTTTGATGTTCCCTGTTATGTGCACACATTGATGTGAATGGTTTGACAGCAAAAAGCCAGAATTTAAAATGAAAGGGGAGTTAAGTACTTCATGAAATAATTAGAATGTTATGTATTATAAAGTTTGTGTAACAAAAATAAATTTTTTGTCTGGATGCAGAGATAAATAAAGTGTGTTCTTCTTCTTTTTTGTTTGGTATGGCTTTTGATTAGATTATTCTTCCACATTTATGTCATAACCCAAAGGGAGAAAAATCCTTTCCTTTAGTATATTTTAAGTTAGAATTTTGTGGTATGGAAATTAGGTGCAATGTCGGCCTACTAATACACAAATGTATTTTGCAATTAGGGAGTATGGATGCCAGGGGAAAAAACACTCGCAAAGCATATGAACATTTGTGTTTGTTAGACATTTTTAGAAGGAACATTTCTTTTGTGCTATTTTCTCGTTAAATATAGTTAAAATATTAGTGTAATAATTATTAATGTTACCTAGTACAATATGTCATGTTAATGTGTGTAATCGCAGATCCTCAGGGGAATGAGGAAAGTCCCTCCCCTCCCCCCCACAAATTTTCCCTTGCATCACTTATTACAAAACTCAAGTTAAAAATATTTTCGGATAACTGTTGAAACAAATATAATATTGCAACATGAGCTGAGTTAAGTCTTTGTTATTCTTCATAATCTGTAATATGACACATTCGAGCAAAAGATTTTGAATAAAAAACTTATCTTAATTTACCGATTGCATTCAAACATTTATATAGTATCCCTTCGATGGGGAAATCTAACTAGAGGGTGGATTTTGATGACCTAAAATATCACCAAAAATGATGAATAAAATACTATTAAAATGTTTTTAAAATGCCCTAGAAGCAAAGAAGAACGACATAAAAATTTGTATCAAAAGCAAATTCAGATGCGCAACTCTAGCTGTTAGGTATGATCACACTGATGTGATCAGAGTGGCAGATCGAGAGGGGCCACGTCCCCCTCTTCCCCCACTTCATTGGTCTAGAGAGAAAAAAATGGTAAAAGCGCAGGAAAAATAAAAAGGAGAAAGGCATAACAGTAAAATCGTTCAAAATGTATCGATATAATAACTGCATGTTCTGTCATAGGCCTTTTATTTACGAATGGGAATCTTGATTCTCGCTGTGGTGCTTAGTGGTACGAATAGAAAATGTCATTGACTGCGCTCCAGAGAATTGTGACAGCTCATATCTTTGTTACTCTGTTTGACAAGCAGTGTTAAGGCCACTTCCACTTACTGGAGTGTGGGTGATGCAACTGTAAACTGTTGACGGAGGAAGATCTCTCTCTAGGTGCCAAATGAGTGATGGTGTGCCACTGTGACATTTCGTGCAATTACAGTTCCAATGTGCCCAAAACAAAATGTGGCATGGATCACTTACATGCGCCTAGAGACAGCACTGTAATAAGTACTGAAGAAGAGGAAGAAAAATCCAAAAATAAGTAAAAAGAAATTAATAAAGAGTAAAAGTGGAAGAGAGTTGATTCATATTATGTGAAATCCTGTTGACTTTCTGCAGTTCTGGATAGTAAATGGTTGTATGTAAGCAGATGTTAAATTGATATTATTTATTTGCATAGAAACAGGCAATTGCCCAATGTTACAAGTTTATACAATATTTATAATTTGATACTAAATATAACGAAAATCAAAAATACATTTTAATTGTAATCGCAGAGATAATGTGACTTTGTATTGTTAACAAATTTATCTAACCGAGATACAATTTATGTCGATATCAGAGTTATTATAGTTTCTGTACATACACCATACATAATGTTTTTATTTAAAATCTATATCATTGAATGAAAAATAACAAATTTATTACTATTTTTAATTTAAAATCGTTAAGCATTCATTAAATATTAAACTATATTTATTTTGTCAAAAGTGTGTGCGTGCGCGCGTGTGTGTATAGACACACACGCACCCTTAGGGCGCCTTCTCACGTCGCCACGGCGGCGCGCTCCCGTCAAGCAGCAGAGCCCGTCCGACGCCGCCACCGCTGCAGCCACCTCCGCCCGCTGTGGAAGGAGGTGGGTTCTGCAGGGGTAGGTTTCGCCGACCCTCCGGCGACGACTGACCGCAGCAGGTAAAACGCCACCGGCGGCACAGTGGGAAGACTACCATTTAAAGCTGTGATCTACTAGCGCTGGCGCTTACGCCGTCCTCCGCTTCGCGTAGCGAGAGTCCGCCGCCGCTTGCCGCAGCGACGCAAACCCTTCACACGTGGGAAGGTCGATATTCAAACCAATGCTCTGCTACGAGCCGCGGTGCTCGGAAGCGCGCTGTGGTAACGGCGTGTGAAGGGGCCCTAAGTCGCTTCCATGTGATGAAGTCAAGTACTGGTAGCAGATATCGTTGCATGCGGTGATTGTAAATCATAAATCCGTCGGACGTATAGCTGTGACAAAGTTAGTAAAATATTGCCTTGTTTTACTAAATTGAGACCAAGCACGACACATAAATTTATCTGGACTAAGAACACTGGTTCAAAAAAATTTCTAAGTCCGAAATCAGAAATAAATTCAACTCACTGCGCGCAGAGGTATGATCGCAGTCAAAGATCAGAAGAAACACATTTCTCCTTGCTCGCCAATTATATTCTCGCCTGTCTACTCCGCCCGTTTATTCTAATTTGCTGTTTCAATCTGCCTGTGTTCGCTCGCGCAAGCGTCCACGGAAGCCCCAGTTTCCCCTCTCGGAATTCCAAAGTTCTGGAAAGCTCTTCTAATTTTACAAATCTAGTTGGTGATAGGTTGAAACTATGTGAGCAGGAAGATTTTTTTTTGTCCCATCGCTGAAGGCGTTCTAAAAGCAATTCAAGTTACAGTTTCCAATTCTCTGTCTCTTGTTTCTTCGTCTCACACCGTTTTTATAAAAAACACGTGCGGGTCTAGCTGCGTCGCAGAAGTAGGCCCGAGCGAACATAATTCTTGATAATGGCTACTGGCTGGCGCCACAGAGTGTCAAAGGAGGTGACTGCGTCGTTTCTGAAAGGGCGGTTTACACAAGTATATAGTAATAAGTAAATAGAGCAGTGGCCAAGGGTTCTACACAGAAAGAAGGGTAGCAACTGCGCGTAGCGAATCGGAAGGAGGGGGTCGCGTTCGAGTCGCAGGGCCTCGGTGCGTGACAGAGAAAGCTCCTTGTGGCAGGCTACTATTGAAGAACTACTGAAATTAATATTTCTTAATTAAAATGAATTCGGTAACGCTACAATATTTAGATATATGAGTGTGGCCGATATAAGGAAAGATATTATAAGACATACAATATTCAAATATCTCCCCCCCCCTAAATTCATCTCTGAATCCACTCTTGGGGAAACCATTTTTGGTATGTGACAAACCACAAACCTTTGTTTCTGATTTTCATGAAAAAGTATGACAAACTACATTTCATTTAGAGAGTACGAAATGGACTTCAATAATTTGAAGGAAAAAGCTGTATAGTTTCATGTAATTACTGAAGAATTAATATTTAATTTCTTATTTTGTCTGTTAATAGATTTACTTGTTTAGTAGTGTGGCGGCTCGTGAATAAATACTCAGCGGACGCAAAACAGATTATTGAACAGTGGCGGATCCCAGGAAGGAGGCAATGGGGGCCATGCCACACCTCAATCCACTGTTATTCAATTTATTCAAAAAAATGTATCACTGATGTCGTTACATTGCAAAGCACATCCATCGCTACTCCAAATTCTCTCCTTAAATTACAATAAAAGATATGACCGTAATAAAGCTTTAACTTCACTACATGTTGATTTGTGAGAATCATACTGTGGCGTTACCGAATACTTTACATTTAAACAATATTAATTTCGGTATTTTTCTTTGAGTAGCCTGCCACAAAGAGCCCTCGCGCGCTTCACCAGCGCCAAAACTTTTCAACGCGCACGCGACCCCCCCCCCCCTTCCAATTCGCTATGCGCAGCTGCGACTCTTTCTTTGTGTAAGAAGACTACCGGCCACCCAGGCATACTTCGGGATCGACCACTGCTCCGTTTGTTTATCTTTCGAAAAGTGCCCTTTCAGAAAGTGATATAGCAACTCCCTTCGAGCCTCTGCGGCAAAAAGCATGGCGGTCACTAGTTCGTCGAGCCTCCACCAAGAGCGCTGAAAGTAGAGGGACAGCCACTAGATCGTTGACCTTAAAGCATTTTTTGTTTAATGAGCCATAATTTTCGTAAACGACGTTGGCGACATTGATGTTGACATCTTTAAGTGAACAATTGAATTATCAAGAACATCGTGCTGCTATTTGATTTCAACTTAGAGTCGAATTATTATCGTATTAAAAAAATGTGAAAACCTACGAACAGTATTGTCTCATAACTTATTGAACTTGAAGAATTTCAAGAGAATATGGAGAAAACAAAACTGTGAGTAATGCTAGAGAATGAATGAACCTTATGTTCGACTTCGCACTTTTACATTCTTACATAAGTGTGCAAATACCGATTTTCAAATGAATGTGACGCACAACATATTCTTATTCAAATTAACTAACACCTTATTCACAAAAAATATTAAAAGTCAACTTTTAATGTAAAATTCGCATGCAACGTTAGATTCACATACAAAACGATTAATAAATTAATTGCAGAAGTAGAAATGAACCCAAATTAGAGTTTGTAAAATTTTAATCTCTTCAAAAATTAGGGGAGAAAAATATGGTAGTTGTAAGGAAATCCGGAGAAGAATCAAATGTAGTTGTAAAAGATGTTGCGATAGAATTTTCGGGACTAATTGGGAATGATCTGCATTTTGTTTCAAAACGTCCTTCCGTCCATCTGTCCGACCGTCTGTCCGTCCGTCTGGTGTACGTGATTAACACTAGCGCCTAAACCATGTGTAGGATTTTTTTCCCCCAAATTAAAGAAACCCCTGTCGATTTGGCATGACTCGAAGGTCTGCGATTTTGAAAATCATTAGTTTGTGGGGATACTTTACATGAAGCCCCTGGGACATTTTCACAAATTTTCTCAAGACTGCCTCCACTTTTTTCATTAAATTTCTTGTAAGAATAGAGTAACTTGCTCTTATAAAGGTGGCGTAGGTTCGATTTTCAGGGTTAACTCTGAATTTTCGAAAATATCAAAAGTTTTTTCGGGCTTATTCAGTTTGCAAAAAATTGCACGCATAATTATGTGTTAGTGTTGTTCACATAAACCAGACAGACGGACGGACCGACCGTTACTCCCTGGGACGGACGTTTTGCCGTCAAACGATTTTTCGGTATCAAGGACCCACAAACCAGGCATTCTCGCTTCATATACTCTCTGCGCTACACCATGTGATAGAGGTTTATTTAAAAAAAATTAACAACTGGATTTCTCCACTTTTATGAGATCAGGGCCAGACAACGAATTGCTGCTGAAAATCTGCCTTTTTTTTCGCGCAGCTTCACTTAACTTTCTCTATACGAGTAATATGTACTAGCAAAACATGGCGTTGCCGACGCTGTAAACTGTTTCATGTGTTGAACATTTCTTTCATACTTCATTTCGTTCATGCCCAGCTTTGTTTTAATATGTTCTTTCAGTATATGGCATTGGACTTACCAATGAATCGTAGTAGCTCGTCGTAGTAATCGTAGTAAACGTTACTCCCGTTCAAACGCTTCCAACAGCCAATGGCCTTGTGTGTTACCTCCATACGGGATATGATCTGGTTTTATTGCAATTTCAAAATTATAACCGCCATTACAAATACTTGCAGGTTTTGGTGCTATTAGTTAAATTTTAGTACAGTTACATTTTTATCAGCTATAATTTTTTTTTCGGTATTAGGAGACCCCAGAACTGTAATTTTCAGGAATTATTTCCTAAATTTCAGGAATTATTTCCTAAATTTCAGGAATTATTTTCTGGAAAAGTTTCCGTATATACGTATGTATACGGGAAATTAAAAATACTCCAAGAGAGAAAATAGCACTTCGCTTTAAAAACACAGAACAACACCCCACCAAATTTCATACATGAACAAGATAATATTCATCTGTAAAAGCCACAGCCTTCGAGAGTCAATATTTTCAGAACTATGTCTGTTTATGTAAAAGAATGGAATTTCTGAATTTCTGAATTGTCTGTGCTGATGAACATTCAAAACGCAATAAAATAATCAAAAAACTACAACTTTTCCATTAAATATATAACAATATACTCAGAAAAGTCTAGAGATTATTTATGATTAAAAACAAAATTCGATATTTTTCTCATTGTTCGGGTGGGATCTCACAAAATTAAAAATTGCCTTGTTTCACACAAAATTATGCACATAACACTCAAATTTTCGAAAAATTGTATATGACCTTTTTTGAAAATCTATCTTTAGGGAACAGATTTCATTAAGGGAAAAAATGTCCATTTAGTTGTAGGAAGACACCGAAAAATTTTGAATTTTTGCAATTTTCGAAAAGTGAGGTTTTTTTTAACGAAAATTAGATCTGGACCATTGTCTTCAAAGTTCTACAAACTGTCCAACAGCAAAATGTAATAAAAAACGGATCGAGCAATTTTCTGGAAAATTTTGAGTGTCCCAGGGGGAGGGAGAATAGAGAGGGAATAGGGAGAGTACATCAGAAATGAGACCTGAACCATTTTTTTAAAAAAGCGTTTCTTATTCTATCCGTTGAAAAAAAAAAATGAATCTTCATTTCTTGAAAAAACTAGGAGCGTTTTTTTCAGACAATGTTTGTTTTTATAAATTATATAAACTACTTGTTTTCCAAAAAATATACATTCCCTTTTTTAAGAGTTGAATTTAGAAATGAGTTTGTTTAAAGCAAAAATTTTTATTTCAATTTTGTAATTCTTAAATGTTCAATTTTTTTGTAAGTTTTGAAATTCTGCCGAAAATGAGAATAGACCCATCTACTTTTTACCGTTCTTTGATACACGAGAGAGAAAAATTTAACCAAAAATGGTGCCGTTTTTTTAATTGTATGCATGCAAAATTAAGCAAAAAAACTACACATATTTGAAAAATTATACATAAGTTTATTTCAAACCCTGTCTTTAAAGAACATATTTCATTGAGGAACTAGTGATGTTAATGCTACAACAGCACATACAGTATTTCAAAATTCGGGGACACATAATCACGGATGCGTTCCATGATGAACTTTCTGTGATGTTCTGCAATTTCTGTGGTACTCGTCCTTCGGAGTATTCTTTGGTAGCTGCGTAGCTCCTCACGACGCCCACTATTCTTTTCACAAGGTTAGCAACATGGCGGCATTATGCAAGCATTTTACGTATGAGTTTAATGTGATTTCTCGTAATATATTTGGAGCAGTATGTGCAACATCGCTTCAGCGTCAAGGTAAAATTAATGTTAAAAGTATTTCATCTTTAAGAGGTTTTCGTGTATTCTTGCTTATTTCTTGACAACACGCGCGGCTTAACCTCTGTGCAGAGTTCCGGCAATTTTTGACTGCCTCTATGTAAAAATAACTTATACTTTGTACATTAATGAAAACTATCATATGTTTCACCTTTAGTTTTCGTTACTTGATTCCAACTGAAAAAAACAAACAACTTCTTTCGTAATGTTAATTTATAACTTTCACAGGGTCACATGTATAGTGAATTCTTACTTCATACTCTGTAAAGATAATTTCTGTTGTTTATGAATGTTACGGTAATTAGATGTTAACTACTCGTTATTTATCAAATGTTCTATCGATGAGATGATGTAAGAGTGATATTGGAGGAGATACATTATTTCTTCGCATTTCGCTCTATAATTTGATTGAGATTTCTTTTACTGAAATTAATGCTTGTTTTGCCTCTTCTTCATCCGTCAACGTTTTGTCTGTCTGTTTCAGGTGTACGCTGTCTGTATGCGGCCTCTGCATTAGGTGTAGATAATTATGTTAGAACTCGTGAGCGTGTGAATTTGCAATTTCAAAACATTTCTGAAAAGTTCAGAGTTAAAATGAAGGAGTTCACGGAAAATCAATCATCATCAGCCATGATTTTTACAGAAGATCTTAAGAATATGTTACATTTGGTAGACTCGAAGCCAGAAGATTTGGATTTAATTTTGAAAATGATGCAGAAGTAATTATGAAATTAATAGTTGCAAGTTTGTTTACTTCAATGTATTGCAAATTATTGTAATGTTTTTATTTTGATCAGGTTTAATCAACAGAACAAGAATTTAAGATTTGGAAATTTTGTCTTTGGACCTGTTGTTATGAGAATGTATCATCACTTAAATCAGCCTGAGGCAGCTTTCAATGTGAGTTGTTTAGTAATTGATGTTAAACATCTAGATTCATTTTTTGTCAATTTGCTTTGTGTTAATGCTCAGTGGAAAATGAAACTTATTTGAAAATTCTTAATTTTGTATTTTACATAATTTTCTGTGATTTTTTTTCTAGGCTTTTATGGATCCTCAATTAGAAGGTTTTTTTGACCAGTTGATGAGTTACCAGATTCTTTTAGATCTTCTTTTACGAAGTAATTTATATGACAAGGTTCTTGAAGTATTTGATGTAATTAAGAATAAGCAAATTGAAGGTGCTAAGTACCCGAAAAATGTAGTTGTATTAGTGTTTGCAACGTTATATAAGATGGTAAGTAATGTTTATCAATCGTTTATTAATTCAGAGTAATCCATAAACACAAAATCACTTATAATCAAAATAATTACTAGAGACTTCATATAATTACATATTTTTTTGTCGTTCTTCTTACTGTTCTCAAAATTGTAATCATTGCAAATCGTAGCCGTTCTAACACAGTATTTAATATTTTTATTTACACATTTTGCAATTTTCACAAAATATTTTTTATTCATTAAATTTTATTACATTTTTATGAAAAGATCAGAGTTTTTCTGTTCATTAATACTGCGTGCTGTCCACTTGAGGTATGCTACATGAAGACACGTTTGAATGTTCTCACAGTCCGGTGCACCTGCTTTAGTTATTTCAGAGGCGGGAAGTGTGCATCAGTGACAGATCATTTTTACCTTAATACTGTGACTTACCCAACTCTGCCCCTGGCAGGTATCACTTGTTGACAGTTTCATCCAATCGGGAGCCTGAACTTCACCACAGTGACGTTACTATTGAGACGTTCAAGCTCCTGATTTGATGAAACCGTCAACAGCTGATACCTGCCAGGTGCAGAGTTGGATGAATTGTAGTATAGATGTGAAAAGTATCACAGCCGCATTTTGTGACTTTTAACCTTAATTTCCTAGAAAATTTGGCGATCACCAACATGTAACACTTCAACTAGAATGTTGCACACTGCAGTGATGGTTTGTTGGTCATAGATATCACCAGTTTGTATGCTTCTATTGCATCTTGTCTGGTTGCTAAATTTCGGCCCTGAATAGCAATGTATTTACTATTGACGGGAAAGTTGTATAGTGTAAAGTGTATCAATTTGTGCTCTAAATTACTTTTAAAGGGTCTGTCTTATTTTTAAAACTTGCTTAGGAAGTTTTTTACGAGTGTAATATTGTATTATGTTAATGTTTTTTTATAATAAGTGGTTTTGTATGTTGCATATGATATCTGATTTTACATTATTAATACTTGTTCTTAATGTTTTGTTACATATTTATGTACATATTTTGTTTTCTCATGGTACATATTTTTCCAGTCTCTAATCATTACAGTAAAAATCAATTTATATATTTTCACTTAAAAATATTTTTTACACATATTCTTTGTTTTAAAGTCTCAGCTGAGTTCCTATATTTGCCATGTTGAACTATTTCAGGTATACGATTTTGTTTGTTGGTTTTCCCAGTTCTTTGTGCATCTTTAGTAAGAATCCCTTTAAGATTATTGAAGGTTTTTTTGGGGGAAGCGAGATCTGCTTCTCTGATAAATAAACAAGCAAAATATTTCCTATTGCATAATATGAGGATTTATCTTTTTTCAGAATTCATCAGAAAGTTTGCAGAGGGCCACGCAACTGTGGTCAGACTTGCAGAATGTTGGTCATGTACCCATGCGCAGAGCAGTGGCTTTTTCTGCAGCTTTGGCAATTAACCAGAATGCGCCGCACATTGCACTCGAAATGCTATCTTCTGTTTCTCGTCCGAACTATGTAACAATACGCAATTTGAAGGTAAACTATTGCCAATGTTTTTATTATTGGTTAATTCCTAAGATGAGCTTGTCAGTAAAGCAAATCTTGAGCCCCAATTTACCTCACCATATGTATATTTAAAGCGGGCTGAAGTAGGGAACATGGTACGACATAAGGAAGTGGTTTAAACTGGCAATTTGTGCTGATCAGGTGAGGGAAAGTCCTTGGCGAAGAGGACAGGATAGTTAGGGGGTTTTGAAGGGAATCTTTCAGAGGACGGGTAGTGATTGATATACATAACATAATTCAGAAGTACAAAGAGCTAGCCATAGACAAGTTAGATAAATTTAATAGTTACTTAGGTGTATTATTACGTAGACTTTTTTGCAAAAACTGTGTGGGGGTGGGTGCGCCTTGGCGCATGTAGGTCTGTAATAAAGTGTTTGTGTTATGATCATGAGAATAAATACAGGTGTTTGTATGTGGTGCCAAAAGAAATGTGTGGACACGATTAAGTGGATTCAAAACAATGGGTTGATTGTGTGAGGGTTTATGTGTACAATGTGTGTGTCCTAAGTGGAATAAGTTGTGTGAAAGCTTTGAGTGGAAAAGAAGTAAGAAAGAGGGCATTCACATGCATATGTGTTGTGTGTGAAAGGGAAGATGGTTTACTAGGAACAAAATAAATTTGAAAGATTCTTGCCTTTCCTTGAAGACGTCTCCTACTGATATGAAACATGAAGAAATTAAACTTGAGTAAGCTTTATTCATTTATTTCAGAGAACTTATTGTAATGTAAGAGGGAAGGAATATGGAGACACCAATTTTATCGAATCCCATTCCCTTCTCTCTCTCCACCCTTTGCCCCTCCTTTCCTTTCCCCCCCTGCTTCCCCCTTCCCTCCCCTGCTCCCTGGCTTGCTTCATGTGGTGGTACCGTGATCTCTACTTTAAACAAAAAGTGTAAAAGTTAAATGCTTTCTGCAAATAATTTCAATCACTGGGGGGTAAATGATACATGTTGTAATGCAAAAATTATTCCTTTGCATATTTTAATTAGAAACTGCAAATGTTCCCATTTTTTTAATGTCAACTTGTTTTTTCTTCAGAATTTTATCTGAAAATAAATATTTGAATATTCTGATATAAAAATGTTCAAATTATCAAGATAGGAACTGGAAAACTGAAGCTGATTATTAGAATGAAATTAATTGCTTTCTGACGTACACCTGTATATAGTTTAACATTTTAATATGCAAATGCAAAAATTAATGTATTTTGTGAGGGATTTAACTGGACGAACATTTTCTTTTACGTTACCAAATATTTCACCCTATCTTTGAAGATGCCTCCTGATAATTTTTTAATTTTTTTTTTTAGTGTTGTCTTCCTCCTCCTTACAATCAGTATCATATCATTTTCAGTATAATTTATTTTCTTAATTTTTGGCATTACCATCATCATATTCACTCGTTTCATTGTTTGTTTCTGTTTGGACCTTCTGTCATACTACGAAGACTTCTGACTTTTTGTGAAAGTTGTACTTGTTGAATTCTCTTTCCTTGTCACTTAGTACAATGTATTGGTCAGAATCCTCCTACTTATTTGCAGTTGATGACTAGAAAACATTCGCAAATTTAATTAAATACTGTAGATATGGAAATCCCTTCTTTCTCTGTTACATGGCAGAAAGAGCGTAATGAAATTTGCATGGTCAGACACAAGAGTTGATCTAATTGCCTGAGCCTCACCACATAAAATAAGGCAACTGTTCGAATAATTGCATAACATTCAACACAAACATGTAGTATGATGTGGTTCTCAATTTGTTTCTGTCCAACATTTAATATATTGATATTAAATGTAAAGCAGAGGAGGCGTGACTTTAGACAGGGATGGTAAAATCTGCATCAGCTTCTCTAGCAATGAAATCATGAGCAATTATAGGCATCTCTTTTTAATATTAATTCAGAGTTGTGAATGTCCAGCCTTCAGAATTATGGGAATGTATTTTGGATGAAAGGAAATAGTTTTCTAAATATATTGTTTCATAACAGATGTAGTGAATTGAATTTGTTGTATTGTTTCCATTGACAATATTGTATAATTGTTGACGTTCTAGATTTCAGCTCTTGCTGACTTGGGGCGGCCTGAGGATACATTCCCATTGCTTCGTTCTATTCTCGAAGCTGATAATCCTCAAGTGAAATTAACTGTTGCTAAAGAATCTGTAAGTTTCATAACATTGTTTGAAGTGTTGTTTTTTTTAATTTATATTTTACTTGTTTATTTTGTAAATGACAAAATTTAGAGAAATGTATTGTTATTGGAATCTTTCTTTATGTTACATACCATTAACAAATGCATGGAAAATTGTTTTAGACTTCTTTCAAGTTTATTGTTCTTTTTTTATAGATTGATAAAGTGAAGAATGCGCTTAAAAAATCAGAAAAACAAGATCTGCAATTGGAGTTTGATCAACTTGAGAAACGGCTTAATGCTGGTGAACATATAATCGATCAGGTATGTTATTTCAACTTTGGAAGCTCTTCATTAGTTTTGAATTTTAAATGTGTCATTCCCATATTAGAAATGAGAAAGTGTAATAAGAAAGTGTAATAACTTCATCATAGCACATGTGCTCATTCTATCTCTGCTATACATTTGGCATTAAAAATTCAGTACTTCAAATTTGTCAAAGTTGTCAGGCCCCAGTGCTGCATATCTGAAAATTGAGAATGTGTCAAATATATGATTTGCCAAGTGAATACAGTACACACACACACAGTATTAGGCTATGTCAAAAGCTCTATTTTCTTTTCTAATTTTTTGTCTCTTCTTCTCCTTTTTTTCTTTCTCCTGTTTTCTCTCTCCTGATCGTAATTCCTGTGTCCTAATTTTAATGTGATGTGACAATTGGAGGGATTACTCCAACATGAAAGCAGCTAATGCATAAATGTTGAGCAGGTTCTGTAATTAAAATGGTGTGTCCTAATATTTTTAATCGATAATCTTACAAAATGAGTCAAATGTTAATGGTGATATGATGGTTCTGTTGTAGAGTCAAGATGAATGGTTATACGTAGAAATTTTACCCGAGTCCTCAAACTTCAATAGAGATCAAAGGTTTCTTGCTGCAAGCTTCAACAGACAAAGACCTGGAGGAAGGGATCTAGGATTTGGAGGAGGAAGAGATGGTGAAACAAAACGCAGGCCACGCCCGGGTCTAGCCCAAATGTATTGAGACACTCTTTTAATTTGTTAGTTCAGCATTGTAGATGACAGACTGATGAGTAATTTGAAGAGGAATGCTCTTGTGTTGTCGTTCGTTGTGTGGTAGTGCTCATGATGGTGAGCTGAAGTTATGAATGATTGTACAGTAATTTGTCAGTCGTTAAAATTTAAAATAAATTTTTTTTGTTAAAAAAATTTGTTTTTTCTATTTTTATTATACCATTAAGGGGGAGACATACTGTTTTTTACATTTTTGGGATTCTAACATTTCCCAAGTATTTAGAGTTTTCTGAATAAAATAATAATAAATCATTGTAAAATGACATCTTTGAGCATACTTTTTGTTATTTTCTTCCTTCATCTACAAACGCCAAAGTGGTAGCTGTTTTGGTTAAGGCTTTTTATTTACATTATATTTTTCGAATGAATTCATCTCAAAGGATGTCTCTTTCATTAAATGCTAGAGAAAAGTTCATTAATTTACTGCAAAACTTTCTTATATCACTATTTTTGCGAAAAACGTTTTTTGTTTATTTGTTACCATGATGAGCTGACTGGTTTCATAGATAGATTAACTTTGATACTAATTTCTCAAAAATGACATTTTTGAACGCATTTGTCCCATCTCTTAAATTTACTGCAGTAATAAGTTTCTAGTTTTTGGAGGTCATTTTAGAAATAATTAAGATATACAACCAAAATGACAATAAGGGCTCCATCCCACGGCGCGACGGCGGTGCGCTTCCGAGCAGCGCGGCGCGAAGCAGAGCATTGGTTTGAATGGAGGCCTTCCCACGTGCAGCGGGTGGCGGCTGCTGCGGCAGCCGACGCCGAACTCCAGCCACGCGAAGCGGAGGAGGGAGCACGCGCCACCGCTAGCAGAAACAGCTTTAAATGGGAGCCTTCCCACTGCGGCCGCCGGTAGCTGCGTTCTACCAGCTCCAGTCCCTTTGTTCGTCGTCGCCGGAGGGTCGGCGAAACCTACCCCTCCAGACCCCACCCCCTTCCACGGCGGTGGCTGCGGCGGTGGAAGGAATCTGCTGCTTGAAGGAAGCGCGAACGCCGTAGCGACGTGGGGAGGCTCCCTAATACGTTTCATACTTCAGGATTTTAGTTTAGAAGTAAAAAAAAATCAAAATTCTGACTTTTAGTTCCAATGTATTATAAATTACCAAAAGTATTCAAAATGTGTAAATGTGTTCATAATTTAATTCAATATTTACAAAGAATGTGAACAGACAGGACAATCCTAATAATGTTTGCAATAAAACAAAGATACACATGAGAATGAAATATGAAATTACAATATGGTAAATAGAAAATTAAGAAAAAACAATGAAATGGCTAGGTAATATTCGAGAGAGAACAGTATCAAATTGGCCAAACGTTGTTTAAATGTATGATAAGAGCATTGGCGATAGTAGTAGGCGTTTCCAGTAATCAACTTTGTTCAATAGGAAAAACTTGTACGGATTGCGCAAAAGGTCTTTGTTCAATTTGTAATCACAAGGTGGAAGTTGGAGTGCAGAGGAAGAAATCATCAAAACCTTGGGAGTTGTTGTAGTGTCCGTTTAGTATTTTGTACTTACAATGAGATCTCCCCACAATCAGGTTATTTGCTGTTAACAGGAGGAGTGCTTCAAGCCTCTCAGGGTATGACAGATGGGTCAGGGCAAGGTTCCATGTTGAAGATTTCTGCAGCACACTGTCTATAAGAGAAGTATGATACCCATATGCAGTGTCCAAATTCAATTGGTCTTATGTTAGTGTGTAGATGTTGCCAGGAAGATGGATTCCTTTGGGACATACACAGATGTGTTATCCTAGTTTTCTGTAAGATGCTTATATACCAGTCGAACAGGGAAATGGACATTAGAGGTTGGCGAAAACAAACTTTTTATTGAGTTGGAGAAAATATAAACTCAACTTGCTGAATAAATCTAAATCTAAACCTTTTTTTCTTACAGTAGAAATACCATTGTTTTTTGTGCATCCAACAATGCGTACATGGGACTCATGAGACTGTCATTGCAACATTTAAAATTCACTACGCTTTGGTACGCCTTCAATTTCCGATATCGCATATTTCCATCAGATTTCTATTTGACCTTGTAATATTGTGTAGTAAATATCTAATACTGCATATTAAAGTGCTGTATCCTTATTGATGGTGTTTATTTTAAAACAAAATACTGTACTCATAGTTTTAAACAAAAAAAATTCCCCTGTATTTACACTTCTCGCAATTAACACAATTTTTCATAGGATCCCATGAATAGTGTAAAAGAGCGGTTTTACTGTATTTCAGAACAGAATTTTATGGATAACAAGAAATCTCATCCATTTTTCCTGTACCTCTTTGGATTAAGCTAGGATTCTACCATGGCCTTGCTTCTTAATTGACAAATCAGTGGTTTTGTTTAAACTGTCGTACTACTTTATGCGTAGAAATTGATTTTCATGCAATTCTTGGATTTATAATTACAACATGTGTCATACAGCCTGTAAATTTAATGTAGACAGAAGTGAGTGCTAATTGTAGTTTATGCAGTTAGTTTATAACGTTAAGCTTTATTGCACGAGTACATGTTTTGAAAACAAATGGCTGTAGGACCGAGTTTTCAAATTTGTGCAAATGAATGCAATAAATAAACATAAACAAGATGCATGAGCTATTTGTTTTTGTGTAACAGCGTTATACATTTATAAGATAATCAAACTTTATTTAACAAAACAACTTTCTTGTGACGTCTTGGGCATTTGTCATCTGTGTGCGGAAACAGTGATCTGCTGTTCCGTTTACCTTTACCTCCCCACAATTCTCTCGCTGCGATTGGCTGAACGTGTGAATACGCAATTATTCTTGCCATAAAAATGCCAGATTATGTACGATTTCTTGCAACAGAAAAGGTTGTTTAAATGTTGATTTTAAAAAACACTTTTATTGACGTTCATTCTGATATTACATCTGATCAGATATATGTATTTATTACAGAGAGGAAGGTAGGATTTTATGCAGCTGAAAGGCAATGGAAAAAATAATACTTACCTCCAGTGACTCCAACCATTAGGCTTCAATGTTAGTTTGATCCTTCATAGTTTTGAAGGGAAATAGTGAAAACGTATAATGGATATACAGTTTTCAAAATGCATTTCGAGATGTAGCTATGCACTGGTCTAATATACCTAAATGTAAGAAAATAATGAAAATTAATTTGTTGGTTTCAGTTTAACAAAGATTGATTAATCAATAATGTAAAATTTGCATTTAATTCAATTTTCATTAAATACATAATGCATATAATAAATAAACGAATTTGATACTATAATCAATCAAATCATTAAAAATTATTAAAATTATTGTAATCTTTCATTATTGAATCCCAGAGATTTGTTCACATCTCACTAACGAAGATGATAACATTAGTTTCATTAGCAGTAAAAACAACTTTTATATTTAAAGCAGTTGTTACATAAAATAAGTTTATTTCAATTTTCACATTTTATTTATTTTTTGTTATTAAAAACAGTGAATGCAATACTTCGGGAAGAAGTACAATCTGCTCGTTGTTTTGAGTCCAATCTGTGCTGTTTTTTATTCGTAGCTCTTATGTGGATTTTAAAGGCCATGGACTTCATTTATTGTTTAGATGGTTAGTTGCTAAGGATCTAAATGTGTTTATATATATATATATATATATATATATATATATATATATATATATATATATATATATATATATATATATATATAATATAACGAAAAAGTTGATATGAAGTCATTATTTAAAAAAAACGAATTTATGCCAAAGAAATAGTTCTCAAATTCGGTTATTTTAAATTACTTATTTTTGCATTTCAAAGTTATTTGAAAATTCATTCAAGTAGAGAAACAAAATTGTCTCCGTTTTAAGCGGAAAATGCCAGGGTCTTTTCATAAATAATGCACAATATTTTACATTTTATTACATATTTATTTTTCGACAAACTCTCTTTACAATTCTCCAATGTAGTCTCCATTCTTCTGAATTACCGAGTCCCAACCAAGAACGCTGTAAGGGTCATTTAGCCCTCTTGGTCGCAGAGTCTGGAAAGCTTTCCAATTCCAACAAATGTATTGCAATGCTTTACTATTCCATCAATCCTTCTTTGCTCATCAGACCAATGGTTCGGGTATCGGCTGCAGAGAGCTTCTCAAGAGGTGGAAAACGACGTCCTCGCGGAGGCTTTTTCGATTGTGGAAAAAGTCAGTCTGGGGGGCTCATTTCAGGACAGTTGTGAATTAATATTGAAGTGTCACATGTAACACTTCCCAACCGTATCCGTGGAACTTTTCTGTTACGATGTCAGTCGTGTGTGTGCTAGCGTTTACCTGGAGAATGTTTCCTAGACTCGAGCAACTGAGGGCGGGTTTTGTGCATTTTTCGGTTCAGTTTTTTAATAAATTAATGATAATAAAGTCCTTTGCCACGGAACTCTGTCTAATGAGATTCTGCAATGATCTTAAGCAAAGATAGTTTGTTTCACCTTGACGGAACTCGACGGAATTGTTTTGGACGTGGGGAAAATGGATCTTTCCACTCTTTCGACTATGATTTTAATACCGGTTCAAAGTCTGTAATCCACATTTCATCAATGGAGACGGTTCAATTGAAGAAAGCTTAACCTCCGTCAATCTTGGTTTCAGTAAGGTCACAATATCCAGACGTTTGTGTTTTATGGCGTCCCAAGGCCGTGAAGTTCCCATCGCGCTGCAATTTTCCTCTTCAAATCATTTGACAGTAGTCGAAATACGGACGTTATTGAACATTTTCTGACTTCTTAAATTACTTCACATTTTGCGCTATCTTTTTCAATAATAATGTGATCACACGACTTTAACGAAATCGACTAGCCCAATGCAGAACTGCTACGGTCCACCGTAAGCTCACCCTACGCTTCTCTTAAAACTTCGTGAATTTCTGTCGGATTTTTGCTCCGAAAAGTTTCGATCTTAATTACTATCTTTGATCCTCAACACTCACAGTAACCGAGACCTATGCAGGCGTGTGTTTTTCATGGCTATATTGGTTATCATAGATTGTAAATTTTTTGTTATAAATAAAAAAAAAAAAATATTGGTTATTGAAGACTACAAGTAGAAAGTTCCATGGTTTCTATCTAATGACACATTTGTCAATCTGAATGAAGAATACGAAACGGTAAAGAAGAATATTAAGAATCTTTGTTTGAAATAATGCCTCTTCCTTCATATTGTTTTTTATTACCACCCAGACAAGTTGCTTTTCATTTAGCCGTCATAGAATACCATTTTTTTGAACTGGTCATTTTAGTTTTATTCTTCGAAATGAAACTTAGTAGAAATTTAGCAAGCAAATTCAACATGTGTTTTTGGAGCTTAAAAATGTTGGTTAAAACCTTGAAATAAAAGCATTTTCCTGCACTTTTTTGTCAAATTTTTGCAGTTTTTACATGTCTTTTTCTCCTTTTCTGTATATTATCAGTAGTCAATTGTTATGTTAGAAATCAAATGATATATTTTATGAACAAAGTTCGATTTGCATTGTGACTATTCTTTTCTGTTGTACTAAAGGATCACAAGTTTTTTTTAAAAATTAAGCTGGTCATGAGTTTTATTTTTAAAATCATTCTACTTTTTGTTAATATTTTTAGTAAATGCAGTATCAGCAATAGAGACTAACATCTGAAGTATGGTTTTGGAAAAAGAATATCAACAACAAAGATTTAATTTAAGTGTGATAGTAACAAATAAAGGATTCAATAGAAACTGCTGACGTTTGTTTTCTTGGTATCATGCGAGATGTGATTCATAAAATAACGCGAGAATATTATTATATTGTGATATACAAATATTATAAAAAAATCATACAAGAAAATAAATTTGTTGAAAAGTATTTCCGAATAGAGACATACAATGTGAAGTATTCAGCCTGCATATCAAAATTAGTCTAAAATGAAACACAGCTTGATAGAAATCAGGAGTGGATTTTTGAGGAATCAAAAACGTTGGGAATATTAATAATTAATAAACTCATTGATGAAGAGAGTGGTGAGTTATAGTTCTTGTTTATTATGAAAATAGATTTTTCTTATTACTATGAACATGCCATGTTCTTACAATGCACTTTTCAACAAGTCACCATATACATTTTCTAACAGTGAAGATACAAAGCCCACCCGGTGCATGGCCAATTGCACCTACCAGCTTCAAGTTTCAGAATTAGGTTGAGGAGAAAGGGGCTTGGCAATCGGATAAGAATTCATTGAAGCCCAGTATTAGAGAAGGATAGAAACTGGCAAAGATTGCTGCCCTGGGGCAGTTTGATTACTTTTTGCGCCTCAGCGTGACAGGGTGGGCGAGGTGCGAAGTGTGTAGGGAATATAAAAGTCAGATGTTTTATCAAAAGTCTTGGAGTGCTGGTGGGCTGAACCTGTCGCAGCCTTGCTCTATGCCGTAGAAACAAGTACACAACGGGAAATCCGTGAGGTCTTCATAGATGAGTATATGTATATAAATGTGGAGTTAACATTTGAGACACTACCTCTATGTATCACCACTAATCTGTAGGTTGTAAGAAAGCACACATTTCCTGATAAGTAGTCTAAGGGTTTCCAATCCTCTACGTGGTATATGATGGAAAATCTGATTGTCTAGCATCCCCTCGTTGGGGGAGAAGGGACACTAAGAACACTGCTTGTCTGTGAGCACACGGAGTGACTTGACTTGGAGGTCTTCCCTTCCTCCCGCTGCAGCTGGCAGTGCTGTGGGGATGCACACGACATGGCGCTTGCGCTCATCACCTACCATCGGTGGGCCAGGCATAGGAGTGAAAGACTCAGTAGCCACACTGCTGCTAGCTCTGCGAACAAAACAGTACACACTTCATAACTAAGGCTTTTATAGATTAATTAATAACAAAATCTCCAATAGCGTTTTTATTAGTGGGGAATTATTTGTTAAAATTTGCTTTATTATTTCGGGGTTCAACTGTCACGGTTATTACACCTTTGAGTATAGTGTATGCTTTTTTATCGCGAGAGACGGCGGTGATCTTCACCTGAAGGATGGTGAGATGCGGAGCAGACCTACACGTTAGCTTGTGAGGTTTTCCCGCAATCACGTATCTTCTACCAGAAGCACATCAAAGCTTAGGGCGTGCTCCCAGTCGGTGCAAGCTCTAAGCTCCCGTCTGGCCTCCCTGCGCGCGCGTGCGTGTGTAGATTAGGAGTGAGGATGAGGCAAGGCAGAGAAAGTACAGATATCGCGCGTTCTATGACCCGTTTGATTGGGTACTGCTGCGGCATTCGCTTGGTGTTGATCGGAGAAATCACGGAAAACTTCCGATCTGAGTAGCCGGCCTGCAACCGACGGGACTCGAACGTAGAACCCCCCGCTCAGAGGCACTGCAGCGACATCAGTTGACGCCCTGATCCACCTCTCCCGGTGTGCATTATAAATACATTTCATGTGTAAAAATGCTGATGTTTTAGTAAACAATGTGTGAGCGTAGCGAAATTTGCGTGGTCAGACGGAAGAGCGGGCCTGATGGCCCGAGTCTCGCCACGTAAAATAAGGCAAATTCAATTCAATTCAATTCAATTCAACTACTCAGTAGTAGATATGGTTATAATTGATGGGGAGGGGAGGGGAGAAAGCAAGTGAAGGTCGGCCGCTGCCGAGGCCTACCCACCTGCCGCGGCGACGCTTTTGCTGGCGGGCTTGGCGGAGTACGCGTCCATCTCGCTGAGGAAGCGGTAGGAGGCGTTGAAGCCCGTGCCGTCCAGGCGGTCGTTGGAGCGGAACGTCACCCGGAAGAACTTCCGGTCCGACTCGATGTCCAGCTCCTTGAGCTGGCCGCAGTAGCGCGAGTACTTGCGGTCGCGGGCCATGAAGTTGGAGAACTCCACGTAGTCGCTGGCGGTTATGGCCTCGCACCTGTAGCACGCGATTTGCTGGTGAAGGAAACGACTTCGACGAACAAATAACAAAAACAATAGAGAAAAGATACAGAGAAATTGTTACGACATGAAAATATAGAACTTGGAACGAGTGTATTAACTTTTAAGAGAACGAACAATTGAGTAATGGAAGGGGGTGCTGTGGAGGCAACATTGTATTGGGACACGCTGGCGAGAGTTCGAAAGAGATGGCTGCATGAAGATTATGTCGTGATATTTAAAGTAAAACTCTTGTTATTATACCCAGTTAGTAGCGTTTTCAAGTGATTTCAAGATTGATGAAACCTTGGAGAACGTATTAGTTATAATTAATCGATGGTTCAAGAATACAGAACAAAATATTCGCAGAAGCGGATTAGGTTTGCCGATTGATGAGCATTTCAGAACTTAGGGACAATATATTTTCTTTTTGTTGGGAATTTAGGTGTTTTATTTGACAAATCTCAAGAGTGAGAATGTCAGCAACATTGGGTAAGTGGAAAAAGCGGAAAAAAATTATTTTGGAAATACCCATGATCGGGACCATTACGGGGAAAGGTTGCGGGACCGAAGTCACTAGATTTGTTGCAGAAATGAAATGCACCAACGATGTGATAGAACTACGTAAGAGAAAAATTGACTCTTCTCAAATCATTTTGATTAATGTTGTTTTCTGAGTTAACTGAAGAGATAAGTTTACAAAAGTATTTTATCAACGAAAATTCCTTGAAGATGGTTCACAAAACAGCCGACGTATAGATTAAATCGATATTGCGGTATCTGGTCGCGAAGTAAATGGCTCCATTGAAGAATAACATCAGATTCCAGCAAAATAGCAGTTTTTGAGATTTCATTTTTCTTTTATACCAACAAATTAATTGCCTATACATCCGAGCGTGTTGCGATCTTCTTCAGTGTCCACAAATATGAGGGTAATGTGAATTAATAATTATCCTTTTTAATATTCATTTTGACGGTGGTAAATTTTAAATTTATTTCATTTAAAGAAATTTTAAATGCAATTCATTTTATACACAAGCTAACTACCCACAAGAGTTGACAAATTAATATAATAACGTAATAAAATATTTTACAAATATAAATACTAAAACATTGCCAAATGTATTAAAAAAATATTTATAGAGCAAGTGCTCTACTTCGACATCCGACACGGGAAACTACCGATCAGAGCAGCCGGCTGCTAGAACTCTGCCAGCATCAGAACTCGACCTTGCTCTCTAGCTAGTATCGAAAATTCTGCAATCGGCACTCGAACCCTAGGACTCCCGGCAAGAGGCAGCGCCGTAACACGAGTTGATGCCCTGAGCCACCTCAACCGCCTACTGGCTTTTGTCTTACCGTACATAGCACAGTACGAATGCGAGGCGCGAGGCTACTCACGGGAGCACGCCTTCCACGTCGAAGTAGTTGAAGTGCAGGTGCACCTTCTCGTGGGCGCGCCCGTGGAAGAAGTAGTGGCACTCGGTGTCGCGCGGGTAGAAGCCCGGGAAGTTGGGGCTGGCGAAGGCGCCCGCGCGCGCCTCGCTGCTGTTGAAGACGAAGGCGCACGGGAACTCGTCCACCTGCCGCCCCGCCGTCACGCCGAAGTCTGCGCACACGCCACAAACAAGCACAACGCATCTCACTGATACTGCATAAATAGGAGAAATAAAAGAATACAAAAATGCCAAGGTGATGCAAAATAAGATGATTTAAATTTAGATTTATTCAATCAAAAAACAGTAAAAACTGTATGTGACGTAGGGGGGAAAAGTTCGTATCTGCACACGTTTTCTTGAGTTCCAGAATACCTTCCCGTCATTTTAACTATAAATAGTTGAAAGGTGAGTAAAAGTTTAATATACATAAATAAATAAATTTTAAAAATCGTAAGATTAGCAATATTTGAAAAATAGTCATTTTCGTTTCTGAGTTATAGAAAACTTATTTGGATCGGTACACGAATTGCAAATATGATTTTTCTGCATTGCTAACCAAATATTAACTCGCCATTACCTCTGCTCTTACCATTACAAGCAAAAGGAGAGTTCAACAAAACGTGTGCATAGTGAAGCTACATTTACGTCCAGATGTCATTTAAAAAAAAATTGTACAATAAGATATACAAAGTGGTATATGAAATAGCAAATGAAGGTGGTGGGTTTTAGATATTTCAGGTGTTTGTATTAGACGCGAATCCTAAGTTGTAACTCCGAAAGGAAAATAAATATATGAAATTATGATATTGCTGGTTAAGAAATTGTATACGGAATAGTAGTTCGAAAGTGTCTGCTGTAGTCGGCCGCCGTATGGAATTAAGTTATAGGTTTTAGGGTGCATTGTAGATGGAAACTTTATGATTGGGTTTAAACGAAACATTAACGCTTTTCGAGGAAAAAGGAATTACGCAAGTGATAACTAAGTATTATTTTTTATATTTACGATTTTTTTATCTTTAAGAATCACATTTTTCCGTTTATTTTGTATTTCTGGGTAGAATAACGAACACATATACAAATTTCAATAATATATAATTCTATTAACTTACATTATTACTGTAGTTTAATTTTTCTAGATCGTGATTAATTAATTAATGAATTAATTTATTAAATTAAAATGGCATTAAATTTACATACGTGTCATATTTACTGGTTTTCATAATACAATTCTCGTACTTTCAATGTTTTTATACAATAACAACGCTTGTAAATTCTTTTTAGATCTAAAACAAAAATGTCAATTTCTGCCAATTCTGCGCATTCTGTCCATCGATCATATCGATCTTTTACAAACCCTGCGCAATGGCAGCGCTCATGGATGGGACACGTTGGCGCGCACCCATCCAGTAATAAATAGAGATCAGTGATGGAGGTCACCTCAAAAGAACAGCATTCTGCGACGTCAGTCTGATTGCTATCTGCTGTCCGGGTGACACCACGCCCCTGATTTGTCGGCGGTCCAGCCAATCACGTCCAGCCGTACTGAGAATATAAATCATGATGTCAAGTTGTCGTCACCACTGAAAGTATTCACGGGGAGCTCAATGAAGCTTTCCCACTCTGCAGTTGACTATCTCGCCACAAGAGAGCAGTAGAGAAAGCAGCTCTGGAACTGATGCGTGAGATCCGCTTAGACGAGAAATAGATAAATTAGTGAATTTACTTTGTTGCTTTGCTTTGTTTATTGACCTTTGCACTTTTATTTTTATGTACTCGTCGTTTTTCAGGATTATGTTACTTCTGATAGAACTTCATTGTACGTCTGCATTGTTCAGCATGTTCCAGAGGACAGATTTCTACAGTTACCAATAACACTTGAATGTTTATGGACATCAACCAAAAGGTAGAATGAAGATATTTGTTTGCACGATTTTAACTAATTAATTTGTATTTGTACTCGCTGATTTTGAGCTTGAGCTTTTGATCTGATGCTCACACTTGGGACTGGAGCGATGTGTTCAATCGCCTTCAGTTGGTAACTTTCACACTACTGATATAAATCGAAGCGCTGAATATTATGGTGCATTTTGGCCACCCAGAAAGTCTACGAGAAAGACGAAAAACCTTAGTTTACCAGCTCACGGTGCGTCATAACTTGGACAACAGAGAGCAATCCCATTTCAAAAGAAATGCACATCTAAACGACATCCTACAGGTGTGTCCTGCCCGGTTTGCATTGGAAACAAATGAAATAGGTGTAATAATGCTTATTAAAGTGCATGAAGATGCAGGATTTGCGGCTTCGGATAGTGCTGTATTTTAAGAGGACAACATATTTTAAATTGAAAAAAAAATACAAAAAAAAATAAAATTCTAAACTTTAATTTATTTCTGGTTAAACTATTTAACTTATCTTAAACTAATCAATGTAATATTATTTTAAATACGATTGTTTCGTTTTTAATCAATTTGAAAATATAACATCCAACGATATTTTAAAAATATTTCATCAAGTACTAGAATTATTTGTACTAGAAATAATTCGAAATTAATTTTGGTTTTACGTTTTGAACACTACGCTGTCAATAATAAAAAATAGCGAAAACATACATTATAAAATAACGTATAAGCGTAATTTCATAATAAAAAAAATCGATACATTTTCAAGGAGAGGCCATGGCGTCCAAGCCCCTTCCCTCTGGGCCACCCTTGAGGTATGCAGAGGTTGGGAGGCAGGAGAACCAGGTTTTGAAGGAGGGTTATGTAGAGAGCCCGGCTCGCAGTGGGGCCGCCGTGGCCGCGCCACTCACTTTTGATGAAGCTGTAGGTGGCCTTGAAGCCGCGCGCCAGGCTGGAGGAGTAGATGCCTCGGAACTCGAGCATGAGGCGCGGCCCGTTGGACATGAGCGGCCGCGGCAGGCCCGAGCCGCAGAAGCTGTCGATCTTCTCCATGCGGCCGTCGATGTGCACGTACGCCACCAGGGCGTCGATGCTGTCGCACCTGCGTGCACACAAACGCAAGCACGAATGACCAACGCACGAATCCGTGGAGGGTTCTTCGCTGAAATCTATCTTCACTTGTGCTTCAGAAAGATACTGTTAGTTAGTACTGCAATGAGAGATTGTTTGTTGATAATGAACTCGGCATTGGATCCTAGGATTACATCTGTTCTGTTCCAACTCGCATATTAGTGAAATATCAGTGTTGTTTTTAGTATTATATACTAATAACTACGCGAAAAAATGAACCGTTGGAGTATACCAGATCCATGATACTGTAACTAGGAACCTTGTAACACTATCATGAATCTGGTATAATCCAACGGTTCTTTTTTTTCGGTCCATCTCGATCAGGTTTTTCGTTTAGGTTCTCTTAATCTATTGAGCAAATACTAAGACTGCCTCATATTTCTCTTCAGCGCATAAATAAACTTCACTATCTCTGCACGTGTTCTCGATCCCGACGTAGGTGAACAGTTATTCAAATAATCGTTCTCCATCGTTCTCGCGTCAGGAAGTCGATTCCTTAACGTGGCGCGTGATAAGGAATAATAGCCAAAATCTACAGATCTTGGCAGTTCAAATAGTTTTTATTACCTGGGAGGGGATAATTTCTTTTTATCAAATTCCACCAAAAACGCTCCTTGCTACATGTATTCATTATTCAACTTAATACCCAGAGCTCAGGAAAACTTGTCGTTTGCACTTATCTCCATAGTATGTCCCACACAGTTTGTAACGGTTTCTGACATTCAATAAATAAATACCAACAAATAAGTACATTTTACAGGGTCTAAAATGAGGTACGGATTCGTATCAATTATGAAAAGGCCCATGTAAAGAGAAATGTCCTAATAGTTGTATTTAGAGTGAAGTTAAAATACGATGCTTGCATATAAAATATGTGGAACCAATAATTTATGGATTACGTACAATTCAATTGAGAGCAAAATTCATTTAGATTTTCGGAAAGAAATCACAGTGGAAGAATTTTTATTTAATATATTTGCCAAAAGATCCTTTCATTTTAAATACATCAAAACAAGTCAGTCCGCTTTGGGCATTTAATTTGGCAACAGTGACTGAATTCTTTAATTATTTCATATTTTAAGGAGCACAGGCACCTTGCAGTTTTATGAAAATAATTTGCAGCATCTTTCCGTAAATATATTCCTAATCCGCCATGAAACATTGATAAGTTGTTTACAAGACAGTCAAGTCGGAAAAACGATTTTATCCTACCGCAGCTTCGTAAAAAAGTTATTTGAACAGTAGACTTTTCATTTCATCAATGAATATTACATTGAGTCATTCTTCTGTGATTCGTCTATACGCGGCACAAGCTTTCCGTATCTTCCCTTTTGGATGGGTCTGAGTCAATAGGTTTCTTATCGCTACTCAGCTCTACAGATCGAAAACCATCACCTGCACCAACACCGAAACTTGTTTCGATCTGCTGTTTTTTAAATTTTTTTTAAAGTCCTATTGAAAGTGACGACGCTCAAGGTTTGGCTGGCATCACAGTTGCTTTCACAAAATTGTCCAATGGAAACTCGTTCGTGTTGGTGCCTTCGTCGCTCGCATATTGACTGGCCGAATGAAGTTTGCAAGTGAGGTTTAGTAGAAGATTGTGGCAGAAATTTTGCTGACTTTTTCAGAATAATATTGAAGGGAAACTTGTTAGCAAAAGTAAGAAAATGTTGACATGTTTAAACCTTAAGCTTGATAAATTATTTAGACTTTCCTGAACTCAGTGATACGACTTACTGAAAAATTCGATATAAAAATGTGTAGATTGGCAGGCAGTAGATTGGGGGCATGACACTTGTTAAGACTCGTGATTTTAGTTAATTTGGACTAACTAATTGACTAGATAACAGTGATTTATGTAGGCTCGTAGAAGTTCTGTTCTAGATTTTGGCGATACTCTCACAATTATAACTTCTTTTATTTTTTAGTTTTTACATAAACATTGGTTGTTTACATCAGTTCTCTGTTAATGAGGTTAGAAGTACGGTTTTTTAGGTAAGTATGCCTTGTTTGTTAGTAAACTGATGATTTGATCCATTTAATGAGAAACAAAGAAATATGAAATTTTCAAGATAACTTTATGAAAATATGACTGAGCTAATTAACCAAAATGTTGTACACGCCAAATGAGGTAGATTGCGAAATTATTCGAATTATAAATATGTCTGCGAATTATGAATGCGTCTATTTTTCAAAATTATTTTCAATCCCTTTTTGAAACTTTTTTAAATCCGATTTGTGATATTCTATGGAAGTATTTCTGGTTAAGTATCTGGTTAAGTATAATAATGCATAGTTATAGAATATTCTGTTTAAATTTCAGGGTTCTATGAAAAGTGTTTTCTGAGATAAAGGGTCAGAAATATAGTACATTTAACACAGGCTAGATAGCGCCGTCAGTGTCCTCTTAAACTTGATTCCGAAACAAATTGCAATTTACAAAAATTCAGAATGTACACGAAGCGATAATTTATTGATATTCATTGAAAAGTTTAAAAAACTATCGCGTCAGAAAATTGCATTCCAGTACTACGACAACTTTACAAATGCAGATTCGCCTGTGTTAATACCACTTTTAGCTCTTGGTTCTCAGGCATTATCATTTCCAATAAAGAATACTTGTGAAATCAGTTGATGCAGTATTCTAAAGAAACAAAATTTCTTTTAACGTAATTTACCACGAAACTTTTTGATCTCGTGGTCTACACGCCTACACGCTACAGTGCTCCGCTCCACGCTCCCTTCACACCCTTCTCCCCTCTTTCAGGAAGGGGAGGGGGCCGCTGCAACGCAGTACGACAGAGCACAGAGTAAAGTACGCACCGTCCCTACCCTGGCACAGCGCGAGTCTAGGCGCGGGAGTTTGCTGCCTGCTGAGGCAGTAGGCTCGCGCTCTGCCTCCCTCCGCCCCCCTCCAGAGGGGAGGTCACCCCTGCAACGCGAGGGGGCTGCTATATAAGGACCCGCACGAGGAATCTGTCCACTTGCGGCTGGCGCGCATTCTGCAACGGTGTCGGCATGTTCGCGAAGAACGGCGTGGCTCTCGTAAGTATGGTTTCCTTTGATTTCTTGCTTCAATGCAGTTATTTTTTTTAGGAGTACTACTCGTCTCGCTACTTTTGTTTATAGTGATATAAAAGCTTAATCGATTTTTGTATCACGTGCAATGAAAAAAGAACATAAATTTCAAATGTAAATTAATTTTAAATTCTTCTCCAGTTATTGATTGCGTTTGTCGCTGCGGAGGCAATATTGCGGCAAGGAGCCTCGGAGCATGGAGGAACCACCCAGTCTCGGTAAGTTGACATCCATAGGCATTGGTTACGAATTGACTCCTTAAAAGTTGAGATTGAAGTTTTATGTTCAACTTAATTAAATTTAAAAAACGACACAATAATCTCAACTGGTTTCGGCAGTGAGGACAAGGACGCTACAACCTTCGTGGTGGATCGTAGCGACGACGCTGATGCGTTAGAATATTCTATCCCTGAGTTTGAAGAACCTTTCAGGGAGCACAATGCTCCAACGGAAGATAACGTCAGTGGCGAACAAACCGCTACTGAAATTAACGGCCATGCTCGTACCAGCGCGAATTCCGACCTCTCGGATCAGATTCAAGGTAACGTCGAATACGACCTTTATGCAAGGCATCTGTTTTGTAATGGTCACCATTATAAACGTGCCTAACCACCGCTTGTGCTATAACCACCTTTGACCTTGCATTACACACAATATGCTTTGCTTCAGGTCGGTCTGCCGGCGGCTACGCAGCTCAACCTGCAGTGACGGATCACAGAAACGCCCACGGGCCGCCTCCCATGCTACCCGAAAGAGCGCGCCTCTCCGCCCGCAGCAACGCCCACGCCCCGCTGCCCGCTGAGGGAGAGTCGCCGGGCTTTGCGCTGTCGGGCTCCGCCGTCGTCACGGACGGCCATGGGAAGGGCGGGGGCGTCGACCTCCCCGAACGGTACGTGGCGCCGCTCAACCCCGCGTGCGTGGGCGACGTCCGCCCGGGCTTCCACGAGGCGGCCGACTGCGAGGACTACGGCGACTGGGCGGCGCCGGAGGGCGAGGGGGACGGGCCGGGGGAGGAAGAGCTAGAAGCCCGGTGATGCGCCACGAGAAGGTTTGCATGCGTTTTAAAGCGAAGTAGAATGTTGGTTGTACAACCCCATGCGAAATAAAAACGTTGAATTTTTACTTAGACTTGATTCGTTCCAACATTTGAAGGTTTCAACTCCCAAATTCTGCATACTTCCTTCGTCCTAGATTTCCTTTAAACTAATGTGAAGTACTTTGTTCAAACTTGTCGAGTAAATACGGCCACTAAAACTTATTTTCTTAAAAATGGTTAAGACGACCAATATTGTGCAATGTTAAGATGCAAATCCCCCTTCCCAATAATTGCACTGAACATTTTTGCCCCCTTCATAGTATCTCCAGAATGGAAAGGGTGTTTTGAAAGGAAAACGTTCTCCCTGCTTTACTTAATTAGTTTCTGTTAGGCAGCGTTATAAAGATATGAACATGTTTATTTCGAGTAAACAAAATTCTACATACTATTTCCGCCTGGTCACTCCGGTTATTTTTCATTTTGAGCATGCTTCATAAGAAAAGTTTAAAATTCGCACCTTCCTGCAATTAAAACCTGTTGGAAAAAATTCCTACTGCATTGCTTAACTAGTGGAACTACAGAATGGCGAACCCTCTTAATTTCCTATTTCATTTGATCTGAGCTGCTTCGCAATGGTCACTCTTGCCAGATGCCATCTATCACCACCTAAAGTACTTTTTTGGGAAACTTTCTCAACTTTTCGGTTTCCTACTGGTAAAACCGAAATATTACTTTAAGAATATTGAATAAAATAACGTACTAAATGGAAAATTTTCATTGTAAAACTTGGAGCAGTTTTTAAGACGGCATTTAAGCGTCACTGTAAATTCGAAATTTGAAGCTCTTACTTAAAGAAAAAAATTAGATGTTTTGAAAACCTTAAGTCTTTTAAACTACTTAAACTTCCAAATGAAATGTTTACAAATCACTGGAAATGGGTTTATTAATGGCATGAGGTATTTAAAAAAAATAGTGTAATTTAAAAAACAGAATACCCTAAAGTGTACCTTGTCATATTAAACTTCAATTAGCACAATCCGTTGGAAAAATTCCAAGAATATACAAATATTGCATGCAATAGTGCGCGAAAACAACTAAACTTTCAAAAAAGTTCACATTACTTAATAAAAGAACTAAATGAAGAGAATATATTTTACTTGAACGAAAAATGTGGCAAATTTGTTGGTAATCTCCACAACATTAGTGAAGCAAATGACAATGATTAGAGTTTTCTATACAAACACAATCTAAGGTTTGCTGTGCAGAGGACACAACACTGATCGGCTCATGATTTGCCCTGTTCAAACACAGACTACCATAATATAAAGATTATGCAAGTTTTCTAATTTCATATTTTTTTTCTTTGTAGTTTAGGTGTAAAATGTAACGGACATATCAGGTCGATTCGCACTTTCGATGTGAAATGATTTGAATTTTATCGAACCGATTCAATTCTACATCCAAATGTCGAATTCACCTTATAATTCTCACAACTGTAATGCATTAATGTATTTGAGGCACACGCAAACCAAACACGAACTTCTGGATCACTGCTGGTACGGTTCCACATGACAACTGACTGAGGATTTGTAACCCCAACAGTTGGATATTTGTATATTTGCAAAGAGGTAAGAAGCTAAAAGAATTCCTTTCGATGACTGACGCGCAGTAGAAAATACAAGGGTGCACGTGACTTGTTTTCAAGACAACCACCTAGACCTACTCTTATTTGAGTATTACTACCTGACCGAGAATAAAGACTGCACTCCTTGAATATCGAAGGTAAATAAACAAAAATAAAATAAAAACAAAAGAAAACAAAAACAAAATTAAACTTTCGTGTTTTGTTATCTCGTGAAAGTGGCATAGATGAACTATACAAATATTTAATTTGTAAATAGATATCATGTGAATTCTACATATCTTACAGGTGCAATTTAAATGTGTTTGCATACATAGCAAAATACAGTACGATAGGTACAAAGATACGGCGCATTTAAAACCTTGGGCGTGATATGACGTTTTTATAGTAATACTCGCAATCTACATATAAAATTGAGTATGTTGCGAACTCTACCTTCCTGGAGGTAAATATCTTGTTTCTTACTGTTATTGTAATTGAGCATTCCTACGTAATCCTGGCAGCGGCTGAATTCGACCTAGCTATCTAACGTGTGTTGAAAGTCCAGCCACCGTCGGGTCTCAAACCCTAGGACCCTAATCTTCCATTGTTTGCGCAGTATCTCGTTGTTGCAAGCTTGGGAGGGAGGGTTAGTGTATTCCTCAGGGGAAGCGAACAATAGCCCTTGAGTGGGACCGTGGCACGCGCCATGAGAGACTCTGAGGAAAACTACGCTCACGGGTATTCAGGTAATTGCTAAGTAGGATCTTCACTTATCGATTATGTCTGACAGTTATCTGCGCGGAAAACAGTAGTTCATTTCTCGGAACATTGTGTTCTAGTACACTAAATCTGTGGATTTATTTTGTTTATTCACCAGTTAGTTACTAACGATTAATCACAATTAGTACGAAAATCGATTATTTTATAAGATTAATACGGGCCTGATGGCCTGAGTCTCTCCACGTAAAATTATAAATCATTTCAATTAATCGATACAATTAAATCATTATTTTTAGGCTGATTAGTCTATACATCAGTTAAAACTTACGTTTATAATACAATTCGATAATTTGAATTAATTTTATTTTTTTAAATTTCTAATGTGTCTAGATTGTTTTACCCTCGTACTGCAAGAACGCCTGCTTCGGGTTTACAAGAATTAAGGTCTCCTGGCTCTGGCCTTTTTGGCATTCTTTTTCCTTCTTCCACGGCCCTTTTCACAGCTCATAGGAATAGTGGTTCTATCTGTAGAAAAAAACGAGGCCTGATTTTGATCCGCACCTTTTGAAAGGTTCTGTGTCAGTGCGTTTCTGCTAATGTCAGGCGACGAGGAAGAAATAAACTTATTTTTTCATGCGTGTCGTCTCAGAACAGCCAATTTTTGTTGTCACCCATTTTTCACACACTCCATAACAGCATTTTTGCTGTTGCAAGGCACTAGGTTTTACGTATTTATGAAATAAAACTAGAAAATTGATTTAAAGTCAATTGGGCGCGCAAAGGGGGGGGGCGTAAGCATGAGCTTAGTCTGTTATGCAATAACTCAGCCTTCGACGTGACCGATCAGTTGCTGCGTGAGTGGTGAGCCTATTGCGTCATGGCCAGGGAGGGCGATCCCCTTGGGGGAGCTCCTGGGCGGGCCCGGGCAGATGCAAGCCGAGCTGGCCCTCATCCCTCGCACGTGCGCCATTGACATGGACAAGATTGAGCTGCACACGAAACTTTGCATTGCACTTGAAAGACTGTTAGAGCGGCTCCAGTGGCGAGGCATTGGAGAGCCAGTGTCCACTGATTTGTTGTTTTTCTTCGTAATTTATTTTACAAGAGAATAAAAAAACGCAAATCAAAAATGTTCAACCGTCGGGACTAGAGTCCCGACTTTTATTTCAATAATGATTTTGTACGATACAACTTTCTCAAAATATTCGGACTTTTTTAATTGAAAAAACACCCAAGATAAATGTGTTATCCATTTTTGTGAATCGATAATAAGATTTCGATAAAATATTGAAGTATTTTTGAAGACTTTGTTTTATTTAGTCGTGTGAGAGCGAGACCTCAAGAAGCATCAATTGATGAGAGAACAAGAGAAATGTGATTATTCATTATAAAATGTGATGTTTACCTTGACTTTAATGCAATTATGTTTAAGGAATGAAATGGAGCGATCTTAATTTTGAACAAAATTAAAACGAAATGCGAGAAACTTTAGAATTTGTTTTGAATCCAACATTCCACATTGTTTTGAATCAACATTGTCGCAGGCGAAATATAATTTGCGTCTTGTTTTCTCTGCGCAGCACACCTGTCAGACCTTTGTTCAAAGCTAATTTAATCTTTCATAAAGTAAGAATTTCGGATATTTTAATACTGAAGGCATAGTTATGGACCATGGATGTTTTTACAGAAATCATATCTCATCAAAGATAAGTTGTAAAAAGTAGTCGTTCAAGTCATATGTTTAAAGTATTTTATTCGATGTAACGGCTGAAGGGAAATTAAGGGAACTTTCAGTTTCTTTCAAAATTGAACTCGCAACCAACTACTCCAAAGTCGATTAATTTGTGCGGGGTTTAATAACTTTTCATCTTGTTTAGAAAATTGTATGTTATTAAACTTAAGGAAGATTATAGAAACCTATCGCTGGCAAACTTTATTGTGAAGAAAATAAACCGTTGATGCTATTTTGTTACAGTAGATAATTAAACTCATAGTTCTGAAACTCCATCATCACTATTTTGTATCTAAAAAAAGTTAAATCACAGTGTGTCATAATTTTCCCAATGTCATTAACTAAAGAATATGCCCGTTCTAAACATTGAAATATTAATGAGAAAGAAACCAAGAGTGTCCTCAAAATCACAAATATAACAAATACGACTACTTTGCTAAATTATGTGAAGTCTTCTCGTGCGAAGTGCCCACTTTCGTGCCTGTAATATATATTAAATAATACAGTTTTTATTGTTATAACAATGAAATATTTGAGACTTGCCAAGAGTATTTTGATGAAAATCATTGCATGAAGAATGATTTTTCGTGTCATGAAATGAAATGATGAGGATATTCACTACACAAAAGAATATGTAGAATGTGCATATTTTGATATTCTGATGCTTTGTATGATCAGAGCTAACCAAACATAATTAAAAAATCCTGTACACCATCAACACATTATACTAGAACCAGTAAATGCTATTGTGCTTTCTATTATTTTGTAACTTTACTGTTTTTTCCAAAGCTTTTCATAAGTTTTGTGAAAGTCGGCAACTTCTTTTCCATTAACAAAATTATTGGTGTGCTTTTACGCACACGAAGTAATACACCTACATAATACGATGACGTTAGAATATCGTTCCTCTAACGAAAATACATAAATGAAAATGAGTAAGCAGTGTGAAAATGGAATATTTAGTATTCAAAACTATTGAAAAGGCCAGAGACGCATCGATTGCTAAAACGCAGAAATCTAAACGTTTTTCATGAGTTAAAACAGTGCGACGTTTTTTGATATTTTTTTGTTTAAATTGATTGGAAATATGCAAGTAAGATTTTAAAAAATTATTAATTTTTTAATTATTAACTCTAATTATATGTATAATAATATATGTTAAAACACATGTTCACTAATTGTTTCAAATAGAATGATGAAATGTGCATGGAAACTTTATAATACTGCCCGTATTAGCAGATGTACGTTGACTCTACTTGTAGAGTCACATGCCTTGCGAAAACAATGTTTTATTTCTTGTATTGTACTTGTAGGTTCACTCATCGTCACCAGGGAGCGAGCATAATTCACTTCTTGTGCAGGACAGAACAGGGAGCACGAAGGCTGTTTCGGGTAAAACTGAAAGCCGCACCCAAAGCCTTGTTCGACCCAGTAGTATGCAGATGGAGAAATAGCGTCTGTGGAACCTAGAGATACGCCCAATAAAATAATTTTCTATCTAACAAGGACAGGGTCTACGATGTTTAATGTTTGGGAGGATCATAAAAGTAAGTTTCTCAAGGTACCCCTGACAAATTTTGTAAAGGCCAAGACATTTCTGTAACATTGCTGCAACTTATTTAACTACCCAGTTACATTACAATAATTCGTAAGAAATTCGTTATAATACTGTTCACCAAAGGTTGAACATTGCCAGCAAGTCGCTTACATAACAAAAGATAAATTTGTAAAAATTTTAAACTTACGTGATTACGAATTTACGAAATCACTAAATGTGAATTTTAGCTAGAAACTTGGTAATGTGAATGTTAGCGAGTTAACTTCTCCCTGGACTGTCACTTTACCGGTAACCGCGTAGTGCTGGCACTCGTATAAACTGCATCAATTAACATTTTTATTTATGAATTTCGTTCATTTCATTTTTCAATAACTCTTTACATGATATTTTTCTGATAAAATATTCGCTCAACAAATGAATACAGAAACGTTGACTCGCAAACGAAGGTCGGTGGCTGAAGAACAAATACGGCAGGCGGAGTGATTCAAAACAGTTGTGAACTTGAGTCTCCTGCACCGTCTGAACGAGGCCCGATATGAGAAGCGGCTCGCGAGAAGTGAATAGCAAACTTGTTTACAAACGTGCGAGGTGAATATCCACGACAGTTGAACTAATTTTCAAGAATAATCTCCAGCCATACAATATTACCATGAATGTTCATGTTGAGAAAATGTGCGGTATCAAGGTATGACGCAAACTTTTAGGCTAGCTATGTGTTTTTAGTAGTTATTAATTCATTTCATTTCTTACGTTAAATTAAATGTTAACTTGACATTTTAACTGTGTGTGTCCTCCATTATTTATTACGCTAATATTCCCGCTAAATACGTCACCTGAAATATAGTACACTATGTTATTGACAATTGACATCGGTGATGTAGAATAATGAAACGATAATAATCACCCGTAATAAACTATTTTTTTCAATTACATCTATAAACCTGTAAAACTGTAGACCATTTATTTGTCTGTTCCTGGCAAAATAACAATATTAGCTAGCGAATTAAAAATGTTTAATTCACTTCTGCGAATTTTAGTTTACTGCTATTTGAATATACAAATTGGCCGGTGTATTGAAATTTTCTTGACAAAAATATCACAAGAACGAAAGACATTTGAACAAGTGTGCGATATGTAGATATTTGTTAAAACTTTCTCGTTTTCATTTTCTCAGGGTTAATATGTATCATTAATATCTTCCACTCTTTTCCATTATCCCTTTGTTAACTGTAAATTCGTTAAATTACCATTTTAAAATTAGGTAACTAATTTACCTAACAACAAATTTCTGATACCTTGCCTAAACGTTATTTTAAATATTTGTAAACCCCCGAAAAATTGTATTACAGTTGAACAGACAGTAAACAATAGTTTAAAAAAAGGGTTAAGCTACGACTCTCGACGAAATAGATTTTATTTACTTGTGAAAATTATTTCCCTCGACTCCTATTGTCGCCATAGGGGCGAATCGGATTTACTAGTCAATAAAATCGTATTTTGCTCTCTTGTTCCATTCTTCACTGTTGTGAATATTTAATTTTGGTACTCAAAGTGACAGGGAGCACTGTACGTTACTTACCAGCGCAGTGATTTTAACTCCTCAAAATTTGTTTTGAGGTCATTGGCAAATTGACCATAATGAAAGTGATGTAACTGGGTCAGTAGTTACCTTTGATGTTAATTTTCATATTTTAGGAGAAATTACACATTTTTGTGGACGTGCACGGCTATGCCACGTACTGTTGGTTTTGTGACAGAATGAACCCTTCACTAGATGGGCGAACAATACAGTTATCACTCGCTTGGATTACTGACATTCAAATTCCGATTCAATTGGAAGAGCCTCCAAATCACCATTTAGAAAGCTACAAACAACCCAGAAAAAATTCCTTAGACCGGCAATCAAAGCTTCTTGGTATATTTCAAACGAGCAAATACATCATGAATTAAATATACCCCTACTATCAGCATTCATAACTAATCTCTCAAAAATTTTAAGCAACCTAAGCCAATGCCCAAGCACAAACATATTAAATCTCAATAGAATTGGTCCAACAAATTCTAGAATTAAATCTAAATGTAGAAATATATGTAAGTTTGTGTCTGACTTATTACCATTCACTTTGTGTTAAAAATATTTTAAAATATTAGAAGGATCATTTCCGCGATTGTAGTAATATGCATCTCGTTTGCCTAAACATTTCTATGTAATAACATGTTACAGGACTTTGAACAGGGTTGTTCAACTGGCGGCCCTCCGGGCCATTGATTGTGGCCTGCGGAAACTTTTTAGTCAAAAGTGAAAAGCCGCTGAGTCCATCAGAGGCATAGAAGTTGCGCCCCTGAGATGATACTTCAAATGAGGCTTATTTGTTTCAGCGAGTTCATTCTAAATAACACCCCTTGGGTGGCGCCCTTTGCAGGTGCTATGCCTGCCACACCGCAGATATACGTCTGACGTTTATGTCAGGCGAGAAGATTTGCATGGTACGACATGATATCATGCATGGTTGCATTCTCTCCTGCCTCAGAGCAGCAACCGGGCACAGCTGCCGAGATCAACTGTATGGGGAATGCGGATGTGGATACCCCCCCCCCCACGTACTGTGAATATGGCCCGTAACCATATTAAAGATTTTAGTTGTGGCCCTTGAGGCCTTGCCTGTTGGTTTAGCAAGACTCCCGAAAGACACTTGTGGGTAAAATGTGTGCCTGCAAGTCAATCGCAACGTCCAGCTGCGGCTGGCGCGTCGCGGGCACTCACTCGCGCGGGCTGTCGGTGGGGTGGTAGAGGCTGAAGTCGCTGAAGACGAGCTGCACGCGCTCCTTGCCGCGGCCCTGGAAGTCGTAGCGGCAGTGGCTGCGCGCCGGGTACGGCCCCGGGAAGCCCGGCGACGCCACCGACCCGCGCTTCTGCACGTCGCTGCTCAGCACCAGGTCGCACGACGACGCTGCGCACACAACACCACACCTTAGCCTCGCCTCAGGCACACCACACACACACACACACACACACACACACACACACACACACACACACACACACACACACACACACAAGAGTACACATTTCCACTATCCTCTAGATCCTGGTCAGTTATCGAACTTCGTGTCGGAGGCTATAACAAGTAATAATGTATCAGTAAAAAATGAAATATATTTGTTGCAATAAGGATTTTTTCGTTAAAATGCAGTGTAAAATACAGGAAAGAACTTTTGTTAAAAATAAGTTCATTGAAATGAATTTGTTTTGATTTAAATAAATGTTTTTGGTAAAAATAAGTTTCCTCAAAAACATTTTTTGTTTTTGCCGTGTTTTTAAGTTTAAATATCTGACTTGTTGCAGCCGTATTTACATATTGCATTTCTTGAAATAAATTTCATATTCCAGTTGGTTTTGCATTTAATAAAATAATGATCAAAACGTAATTTCTTTGCAAGAATTAAAACAATTCTTTTTTTCAGTAAACGTGACATAATACAAACAAAACCTGTAACATATCAAACAATTTTGTCATAAACGAAAAACTTCAGTTGAATGGTAACAAAAGTTAATAATTATAATTTTTAAAAATTACATGACATGAAGTAACGCACTTGCGCAAAGTAAGTAAAATCGCTAGAATAATAAAAATACTACTTGATATTTCTACTGAAATAAATGTAGCACGATATTACACAAATATTGCACGATTAAATCAAAATAAATAATATTATGTAATACTCCAGAAAACGGACGCATATAATTAATTAAAAAATATGTATTTCTCCATTCTTTTCCTTTAACATTCTCGAATTCCTTGAAAATCAAAACTGCTTCTTTCTTAAACATTAGGTTAGTTTTGAGACCTTGGTTTGCAGGTTCATACCCGGCTGTGTTGCTGCGTTTTCTTAGTAAACGTGGTACAAAACGTAACATATTGAATTGGTTTTTACTTTTTCATTAATAAAAAATATAATAAATTTACTTAATGGGGGAAAATAAAAATATTATTTTAATATTTGTTCAGAGCTAATGATTCTGATACTTTATAGATTTAAAAAGAGCAACTTAATGAAAAGTTTCATAATAATACATTTTAATAATAATAAATAATACATTTTTTAATAAATTCAAATGTTTTAAAATTCAAAAGACACAATATTGTTTTTTTTAAACGGAAATAACGAAAGGTCTACCTAAATTTACAAATTTAAACGATGTTCATGATTTGTCGTCTTCACACTTTAAAGAAAATCTGAAATCATCTGAAAGAAAGTCTTTCATTCAGATCCAATTTCATACAAACAACTAAATGTATTCTCTTTCCCAAATATTTTAGTCCATTTAATGTTTCGTAGTACTGTCCTAAATCAATACTCCGCCAAAACGACATTGCATCTTTTTCATCAAATGCTCCACTTAATTGCACCACTTTGATTGAAGCATTGTACTAAATTTTACGTCATCTCTCAAGAACGTATATTTTCTTTCTGACTGTTAATTTTCGTTGTTGTTTTCAGGTGGGCAGTCTCCATGACACCAACCATTACCAACCTGTGCTTTTGTACTCCAGTACGCCGTGTCTATAGTTTCTTTATCTTGAAGTCAAATATGGACGAAATACGAATAATACCAAATTACGATTCATTACAATATAAAAAAAATTGTGATCTAAAATCATCAATTGAATAGTAAAAAAGTTATAGAAACGATAGTTTTTAAAAATAAAATGACATAAATATGAAGCAAAGAAAAATAAAATCGCTAGAATAATTAAAATGCCACTTGGCATTTCTACTAGAGTAAATTTATTCATTCGATATTGTATGATAAAATGAATACAAATAAAATTATGTAATACCACTGAAAAAGGCCGTGTAGGACTAATAAAAAAAAGTTCACACTTTCTGTCCTTCAACGTACTCGTATTTCTTTAAAATCACAGACTCAGTCAAAATTGCTACTTCCATAAACGAAAAGTTACTTCGATCAAAACCTTAGTGGCAGGATCAAACCCGGCCGGATCGCTGGGTTTTCTAAGGACGGTAAATCTTCTGTGTGTCATATTATACCTGTGACATGTAAACGAACTTTATATCGTGTCTGGCAAAATTAAATCCTTTGACAATTCTTCTTTTAATCATATCCCACATTTGCACTCAATCCGGAACGGGGCAAGTAACAGGTAAACACGACATGAGACCGCTGTCGGATCGGTCCCTAGCGGGCAGCGTGTGAGTCAGAATTAGGTGGTGACGCTGCGAGTCCATGTAGTGCCAATTACGCAGCTGTAGCTGTGGTGCCAATTAAGAAAATAAGCAGCTGTAGAGGCCGTGTCGGGGCCGGGCCAATAGATACGTACGTACGCCAGGTACTATAGGAACAAAAAACAATAACAGCGGCAGCAACGCGTGTACAGCCGTCGTGAGTCCTCCCAGACACCAGCACCGCCCTCCCCACGCGGCGCCCTTTCAGCCCACGATACACCCTTTGTGCATCAGCCGCGGAGGAGGCGCAGCAGGCCCTCCGTTGCGCAGATCAGGGGCGGGGCGGTGGGCACATTAACGAGGCACGAGCGGCGCGGGCGAACGACGCGCCCTATCGATCACTCGCGCAATCGATCACCGCCGAACGAGAGAGCCGTGCGTTCCGGGACCGCGCGGCTTCCCGCGGCCGCTGCCGTCGCCAGCTCCCCGGGCGGTTCCCCGATGGCTCGCTGTGTAACATGACCTCTCAGCTTGCCCGATTTGGGAGGTAATGCATTGCTGTACATTGTTTATTTTTATCCATTTGCTCTGTGTAAGCCGGCGGTTCTCCCTGGAAATTAAAGGAGAGTGAACAATGGATTTCGGAGAGTTGCAACAAATTTCACTGCACAGTACTGACGAAAGTCGGTATATTCATACCTCTTCGAAATCTTTCCATTTTTTTATTCGAGCCTGATTTGTATATTTTTAAAATTTGTCTTGAAAAAATTACATTATCCTTCATTTAATTAAACATAAATTTGTTGTTTTCCACAACGAAATACATAATTAAAATATTTTAGACTCGCCAACATCACTTACTATTTATTGTATGGTGTTGTGGTAAGATATCTTTGGCATTTTTAAAATAATTAAAGATGTTGTCATTGCCAACAATATTTTTTTAATTCAATAGCAGCTTTCGATGGCTTAGCCATCATCATCATGATGATCTTTAATTACTATTTATTGTCTTATTGACTGATTTGTTATTTTTGAGTTATTCGTATATTATTTATTGACGCATTAATTTTTTTATTACATTTATTAGCTAAGACAATATCATTTCGTTTGAAATATTAAAACGTGATTCATTAAAATATGGCGAAAGTGATGATGACAACACGATGGACATTAGATCTGCTGCTCGCTTCGACCCACTACCCCTCTAGACAACTGGTCCAGTTTTGCCTTGTGAGAAACTGAAGAAAACGTCAATTATTCCTAGATTATTCTTTGTATTGCAATATAAGGCTGAATTCTGCTTACTTTATTTCAAATGTAAATTTATTTATTTACGTCAAAAAGAGTTAAAAACCGTGTGTGACGTGGACGTTCTATGAAGTTAATATAAAGTTATATATGTTCAGAAGCAAAACAAAGGGCCATCTCAGCATTTGCTTAAGGATCAGGGAAACTTGAGGAAAACCTGACCGAGATGGGGGTGATTGACCCAGCAGCTGGAGTACAATACTTGTTAAAGGTTCTTTAGAATTATACAATCCAAATGGTAAATAATACACAAAATGTCATTGTTAAAATTAATAATACTTTCCTTTTGGATGCTCGATATAATCTCTAATTGTATAGAAACAATTGTGCAGCAGAAAATATTTTACTTGGGATTTAAACTTTTGTGTCCAATTTATTCGTTTAATGTCATTACACAAGTTGTTGTAAAATAATGTACATTTATTGTTTGTGAGTTTTTTCTGGTGAGCTGTTCATACTGTCACCTCATGAACATATATGATTACTACGTCGAGTGTTGTAGTTATAGATACCAGCGTTTGCTGAAAATATATTCCCGCCCTTAAGTAAGTCATTTTTGATAAAAACCACTGATTCACGTATCAAGAGAAAAGTAATAGTACAAAGATACTTAGATTAATAAAGAGAAGCTTACAAGAATCACGAGGGTGGGATTTGCTTATTATTCGTACAATTTTTTTTGTCATCTAAAAGTCTGGGAGTTATAAGATGTATGTCCCGCCCCGCCTCACGCCGCCCTGCTCCGCCCCGCTCCGCCCCGCCCGCCCTCCCTGTCCCCGCTCCGTCCAGCCCGCTCCGCTCCACAACGTCCCGCCCCGTCCTGCCCCGCTCCGCTCCACCACGCTCGCCTCGCTTGCCTCGCCTCGCCTCGCTCCACCCCGCCGCCCGCCGCGCGGGGTGGGAAACGGGCCGAACGCGGCGGCGTGCGGCATGACCGGAATGCTCCCTGGCGGCGACGCGGCGGGGTCCCGGGTTCCCGCCCCTCCCCACCGAAACCACGCGCACAAAACACCACCACGCGATTAATTACCCTGCGCTGCAAGTCAGCCGCCTCCCGCGGCCCTTCTTCGCACCCGCCCTCGTCCCCCGCCCGCCCCCGCCCGCCCCGCCCCGCCCCGCCCGCCCCGCCCCGCCCGCCCCGCCCCGCGGCCGGCGGCCGACCCTGCGTGATGAGGGCACTCGCCGGCAGGCGGCGCGAGAGACGTGGCAGGAGGGGGAGGCGGACGGCGGCAATGCCGTGGCGATGAATTGCTCCCCGCGCAGCCCTCCGCTTCGCTCCGTCAGGGCCGTAGCTTTAAATATTCAAGGCCCATTCTTTGCGCCGCCCGCCGCGCCCCTCGCGGGCTGCATTGGACGCTGTTTTGTGGCGCGCCCTGGCGACGCGAGTGCGAACTTTCTGCGAGCGGAGTTTCTCTGGCGACACGGACGCTTTCCCGGTCGGTGGTTGGAGTA